TCAAAACGTACCTTTCAAAACGAAAATATCTCTTTCAAAGCCAAATATGAAGTTTCAATAGTGAGCTTCAAACTGAGCTTCAAACTGCTGATGATGCCCAGTGACCTGAAGGATGCCATGCTGAACACAGCAAGTCACTCTTAAACTATGCTATTCTAAAACTATATCTAAAACCATATTCAATTATATTTGTCATCATAAACTTGTGTTATTCTGAAATTATGTGTGTGGGGAGTTTCCTATCATAAATGAGAAAGCTCAAGACTGACCCAAACCCAAACCCATAGTATAGCTGAGAAAGATCAAGCCTGATAGCGTTATTTGCCAACCTGTAAATTTCTTCCCAAATGTCAACAACTTCATCCAGAGATCCAGATGAGTATGCAAAAAACACGATGCTTGGAACCTGACAGAAGCAGATACCCAGGGTGATCTTCGATACCCAGGGTGATGTTCCCTACCTCAGCCAGTGAAGATGATGGGTACACTGACTGGCAGTTATCCTGTCATATACTGTACTGTCATAATTCTAGACTTACACGGACCTCAGAAACCGAAAAGTGAGGACGAAATCATGAAATGTCAGGCAAACAATTTTGCACAAGATAACTGAGGTTCCAGCAACGAAGAATTGAATGTGTGCATGACTAATGCCTTGCAAACGGTTCATGATTGGGCTTCCCAGCCCATTCTGGGCTTCCCAGCCCCATCACCAGATTTGGGCTTCCCAGCCCCATCAGCAGCTTTGGGCTTCCCAGCCCCATTATATACAGTTTTGGGCTTCCCAGCCCCATTACAGTTTTGGGCTTCCCAGCCCCATCACCAGCTTTGGGCTTCCCAGCCCCATTACAGTTTTGGGCTTCCCAGCCCCACATCTTGAGTGTTGAGCTTACCCTAGTTATGTTGGAGGGGTTGCATTGTATCGTGTATGCGAACCTTGTATCATTACTATTTTTGAAACATGTCTATAATACAATATAGTATATCTTAGTGGGGGCTTTATCGTGTATGCAAATCACTTCCATCTACTTTCCATGGGCAAAAGTACTCCTGATATGAAAGATATGTCGTATTTGCTTGGCTAAGGCTTCAGTATAGATATTTTGTACCATCCAGTTACCATGAATTTCCATCTACTTACCATGAATGTAACTTCTGTGCGCAGCGGCTTTTTAGGCCAAGGAAGATTTGAAGGCACCGGCGCAGACAACTTGTCAAAAACAACTTTGAATATCATGAAGCGTGCCTGCTGGGCATTTGAAAGCACCTTTGTTGAAACTTCTCAGGGAAAAGGTTGTTGCCCTGTGTGCTGATTCGGCAGCAGAGGAGATGGCCAGCGCTGAGATAATGAGGTCGGCAGCTCTGTCAGTTAATGGCGCTGAAGCGCTGACACCAAACCTTCAGCATGTTTTCCGAGATCGAGCCCATGCGTCACAAAGGTTGACCAGCAGGCCCTGGCATGCTGATCCCAAACTGAAAGAAATCATGAACTATATGTGCAGAGGCGCTTCCATGGCTAAAATTATGCATCACTCAGTGGAAATCAAGAGATTTTTTTCTGAATATGCCAAGACCTCAAACGCAGGCGTGCAAAGGAGTTTGAACTCGTTCAGGGCAGCAGGGCATCGCTTTGAGTCCTTTGCCCGTCCACTGGGTAGGACACTTCTATTTTTATATAATATATAGATAAATTTTATTTTATTATATTGTTAAAAAAGGGGTAAAGAAATTATTTGCGCATTTAATTAATTTATCAGCGTATTAATTGTTCACTTCATTTTTGATTTATCTGCGCACTCGAAGTCACTCAAAATGGATTCATCTGTATGTACATTCAGGTCTGGGGTGGGGTTGGGGTTGGGGTAGGGTAGGGCGGTCCCAATAACATTGTTTCACGCACACAGAAGCAGTATGGGGTTGGATAGCAAAATGTAGATTATATTTTAATAAAATATAATAGATACATATAGATATAGAATTTCAAGTTGCCTCGTTTTAAGGTTTAAAAAAACATAGTGCACCAAGAAGTAGTATTGCCCTGTTGGAATGCGTTTTGTCAACTGACGGCAGAGGGGTGTTGGGCACAACCACTTGTGAAGCCTTTATTTCCATACGAGGGTTGTTTTGGTACATTTTGAGCACCTTCCACCTGCAGTTCATCCTTTCGTTGCCAATTTCTGGTTCATTTCCTTTTCTGTTTGTAATCAGAACATGCATGCGCTTAGCTAAACATAGTTAAACCATGTGAAATCAGTTTGGGGACACAGGCGTCCCAATGACTTGGTCAAGTTGGTCAAACATTGACCAACTTGGTCAAGTTGGTCAAAACTTGGTCAAGTTGGTGACAAATTGAGCAACTTAGTCATTTTTGACCAACCCAACCAACCTTTGACCAATTTGACCAAGTTGGTCAATTTTTTGACCAACTTGACCAACTTTTGACCAACTTGACCAACCTTTGACCAACTTGACCAAGTTGGTCAATTTTTCACCAACTTGACCAACTTTTGACCAAATTTGCAATTTTTGACCAACTTGACCAACTTTGGAACAAGTTTGTCATTTTTGACCAACTTGAACAACTTTTGACCAAGTTTGTCATTTTTGACCAAATTGAACAACTTTTGACCAAGTTTGTCACTTTTGACCAACTTGACCAACTTTTGACCAACTTGATCAAGTTGGTCATTTTTGAACAACTTTTGACAACAAGTTGGTCATTTTTAACAACTTGGCAAATTTTTGACCAAGTTGGTGATTTTTGACCAAGTTGGTGACAAATTTGAACAGCTTTTGGCTAAGTTGGCCATTTTTGACCAACTTGACCAACTTGACCAACTTTTGACCAAGTTGGTCATTTTTGACCAACTTGGCCCAAAATTGGCCAAGTTGGTGATTTTTGACCAACTTGACCAATTTTTGGCCAAGTTGGTGATTTTTGACCAACTTGGTCAACTTTTGACCAAGTTGGTGATTTTTGACCAACTTGGGCAATTTTTTGCCAAGTTGGTGATTTTTGACCAACTTTGTCAATTTTTGGCCAAGTTGGTCATTTTTGACCAACTTGGTCAATTTTTGACCAACTTGCCCAACTTTTGACCAACTTGACCAACTTCACCAACTTTACCAACTTTTGACAAACTTTACTAACTTTTGACCAACTTTTGACCAACCTGACCAACCTGACCAACTTGACCAACTTGACCAACTTAAGGGCACAAGAAGTGATAGAAGTGTTTGCAGCCAAATTTAAACCATTCAGAAGTAGTTTTGCTGGTCAAATATTCAAAATTTACCACGAAAAACACTTCTGAATGGTCTAAATTTGGCTGCAAACACTTCTTGTGCCCTTAAGTTGGTCAAGTTGGTCAAGTTGGTCAGATTGGTCAAAAGTTGGTCAAAAGTTGGTAAAGTTGGTCAAAAGTTGGTAAAGTTGGTCAAAAGTTGGTCAAAAGTTGGTCAAGTTGGTCAAAAGTTGGTAAAGTTGGTCAAAAGTTGGTAAAGTTGGTAAAGTTGGTCAAAAATTGGTCAAGTTTGTCAAAAATGACCAACTTGGTCAAAAGTTGGTCAATCTGGTCAAATCGGTCAAAAATGACTAACTTTGTCAAAAATTGACCAAGTTGGTCAAAAATCACCAACCGAGCCAAAAATTGACCAAGTTGGTCAAAAAGCACCAACTTGGTCAAAAATTGGCAAAGTTGGTCAAAAATCACCAACTTTGTCAAAAATTGACCAAGTTGGTCAAAAATTACCAACTTGGTCAAAAATTGACCAAGTTTGTCAAAAATCACTAACTTGGCCAAAAATTGACCAAGTTGGTAAAAAATCACCAACTTGGTCAAAAGTTGACCAAGTTGGTCAAAAATCACCAACTTGGCCAAAAATTGACCAAGTTGGTCAAAAAATCACCAACTTGGCCAACCGTTGGTCAAGTTGGTCAAGTTGATCAAAAATCATCAAAAATCACCAACTTGGCCACAAATTGAGAAAGTTTGTAAAAAATGACGAACTTGGCCAAAAATTGGTCAAGTTGGTCAAAAATGACCAACTTGGTCAAAAGTTGGTCAAGTTCGTGAAAAATCACCAACTTGGTCAAAAGTTTGCCAAGTTGGTCAAAAGTTGGTCAAGTTGGTCAAAAGTTGGTCAAGTTGGTCAAAATTTGGTCAAGTTGATCAAAAATGACCAATTTGATGAAGTTGGTCAAAAGTTGGTCAAGTTGATCAAAAATGACCAACTTGGTGAAGTAGGTCAAGAGTTGGTCAAGTTGGTCAGAAATTGACCAACTTGGTCATGCTGGTGAAAATTGGTCAAGTTGCTCAAAAGTTGGTCAGGTTGGTCAAAAATTGGTTAAGTTCGGCAAAAATGTGAACCTTAACTGATCTTCACATGTGTGAAATCAAGCTGGACAATGTGACCAATCAAATCGTGGTTGAGATGAAAGCGGACCGCGGGTGACCCCTGGGGGTAAACACCCCCATTTTTGCAGTGCTCCTCTGCACAAGAAATATGTAAATGTTCATAGTCCCAAAGTTATGATGCCTAAAAATATTGCAATCCAAAGTTTTTTATGTTTCAGGAATTAGCACCACAAGAAGTAGTTGAGACACTTTTCAAAGCGTTTTTTCATGTACCACCCAGCCGATTTTCAAAAGGTAGGCCCAAACACTTGTGGCCTCCTTAAAACATAGCCACTCGAAAGTCTACACATATAGATACAATGGAAAGGAATGCATTACAGAAAGGTAGACTAAGATAGAATGATCAAAGGCTGGAAAACCTTTGCAAGGACGAGTCAGAAGAGCGCGTGTACAGACGAGTTAACAAAAAAAATGGCATTAATTATTTGTTACAAACTTTTCCAATATCTACATACATATATATATATATATTGATCCATACATGAAAATTTTAGATAAATTGCATCCATTTATCCAATATTTACAGCAGTGTTTATATTTATCGATTCTACACAACAATAATAATATAGTTCTGATGTTTAAAACTACTTTTGGCTATGCCCCTGATGGGAATAAGAGCTTTGTGCCTGTCAGATGAGGCGAAATTGCTTCTCCCTGGCTCCCAGCAGCTGCAAAAGTTTGGACATCTTGGGGAAAGCCTTAAATCCATTGGCTAAGCAATCATTCTCCCTCTAAAATTTGCTGGAGTATACCACATTTCCAGACACACCCACTTCAGTAAAACTGCCAGCCCCGCCTTCAGGAAGTTTTACGCGATGACTGAAGTGCTCTAGCACAAACTTGGTCAACCGCTCCCTGCGGTGCAAACGATAAGGTTCAACCCTAAGGGCCTCGGCCTATGGGAAGCAAAGCTGTCTGAGAGGGGTTAGTGATTGGAAACTCTGAAAATCTTCCTTTGGAGGAATGATGACCCGATACAAGCAGATGGATGATTGAGGCATGGGGCTGTTTGAGGAATGGGGCATCCCTGCCTTCCAGGAGCACGTTTCAAATCGGCCGTGGCTTGTTTGCTATCTAACAGCACTATGGCAATAGAAAATACATGAACAATGAACATACTGTGGGAACAACCTTTGCCGCAAACCTCTGCAGCTCTAAATGCAAGTGCACATTTGTCGTGGGAATGTTGGGTTGCTTTTCTTGCCGGTTCTTATCCTTGGGACCTGGTATACATGACACATGGAACACCATCTGCCTGGTTGAAGCAAGATACAAGAAATACCAAGAACGGCGCGGCGGCGTGGATTGGTTTATCCGGGGAAATCTACAGGAAACCCATGGGTTTCCATCATGAAATTCATTAAATATTGAGGTGTTCTGTAAATTTTCCCTTAAATCCACTGAGATAGACGCCACATGAATTGTTTCACTGCCCCATGTGGCGCCGCGCCCTGAGATTTGATCGCCGCAGTTCTCATCCACATACCTGCGGGGCACGGCACGAATGGCCAGCTCCCGGGAGCGGCATGTTTCATCACGGTGCGCGTGACATATGATTTTCGGTAGCTGATCTGGGGATGGATCAAAAAAAATGACCAAACAAAAATCGGGTTGATAACCAACCATTTATGTAGCCTCTAGGGGCGTATCAGCGATTCCTGACAGCCAGACCGAAAAAGAGAAAATTCTAGAGTGCCCGAATGCAGAGCACCAAACCAGAGATTGATATTCTGGAGGGAGACTCTGGTGAAACCGCCCTGTCTAGTCTGAGGTTTCTCACATGTTTTCACGTCAGAAATGGCTGGTGATGGTGACAAAAATGTGATGGACCGACACCGTGACTCCGTGGCCTCCTCGGATGATAGGCTCCTGCAGCGCTGTTCTCCCGCAAACGTTGGATGCTATCCTGGAGGTCGTGGATGTCCTCGAGTCAGGGCGATGGGCGAAGACTCCATCGGAATGGCCCTTCGAAATGGTGAGATTTATACATACATATACATATACATATACATATATATATATATACGTATGTGTATATATATATACATGTGTATATATATATATATGTGATTATTTTAGTGTATATGAATATGCATATATATATATATACATGTTTAGATCATGTTTAGCATTAACCCCATCCCCCTATTAAAGACACCCAAAATGGTCCTGGATTTATATGCAAATCCCCTACTAAACCATGATTTCTGGGAAGTCTTTTGATAGGGGCAAGGGATTAATTCATCAAGTGTTTGGGGTTGATAGCTTTGAGTTCATACCCCCATGCAAGGCCAACCTGTAGGGCACGGACTAAAGCCATGAAGTTATGAAGGTTGGAATCTTGGAACATTTGGAGGATGTATACGGGCCCTAGAGGCTGTATGAAACTGGAAGGGGTCCCCTCTACCCAAAAATATGAACTGATGATTCATGACTAGAATGCGTCAAAAAAATGCGGGGTGCTGTGCGAAGTGGCCAGCCTGGTTGTTTGAGGTGGGGATTCGAAATGGTGCCCCCCATCTTAAGATGCCTGGTGAATTCCAAGCCAGTCAGCCGACGGCCGAGATCGGATTGAATCATTGGTGAATATTGATGATACCCATGCAAACCTGACTTGTTGGGCCGTGAAAGGCCCTGAACTCAGTGACATGTTCTCCTTTTTTATCGTGCATCATTGATGATATTTCATCGGCCATGAGGCTGCTAACAGCGACCTAAAAACCTTCGTTACATGGCATGACCCAAAGAATTGCCCCCGCATGGCCTGAACAGATCCACAAGAGGCTGCACTTAGTTTTGAAGGGTGAATCAAGGAGCTTCAATCAATTGGGGTTTCCTAAGTCATGGAGCTTTTTTGGGAAAAGTGATGGGAAAATGATGGGTAATGATGGGAAAATGATGGGACATGTAGGGGAAATCCGAACATAAAATGATCAAATGGATGGTTTGGGGGTACCCCCATGTCATAATGTTAGGAAATCTCCTAATATGGCTATTGGCTATGGGCCAAAGATATCACCGGTCAAATGATCTTCCTGTGACCCCCTGATCTGCGTCAAGGTGCATTGAAGCCTTCACCTCAACGTACCGGAGACGGGAAACCCAGGGGCTGGGCTTCAGTGTGCCAGCTTTACATGGCAACCCAGAGAGATGGTGGTAAATGCACCTGAAACACTGGCAAATTACTGTTCAAATCTGTTTGTGCACTATATACTATAAATATGGATGTGCAAGTGAAAATCAGTGTATATTGCACCCCCACATGGCAATGATTCAAGGGGAAAATGATGGCTCTGTGTTACAGAGCAGATTTAAGGGCACCACACTTTTGGTCCAACCCATCTTCCAAGGTATGGACACTCCATCAGTTTTGGGGGTGGGCTCCAATCAGCTATGGCCCAATGAAATGTCAGGTGGATACACTTTCAATATCTTTCAATGGGATTTGTGATGAGCCAACCTTGACCATCTTGAGTCAGTTGCCCACTGAGGGGAAAGTCCACTAAAACATAGCCAAATCAGCTGGGATGATCCATGATCCGCGGATCTAGACTAGTTTGTGGGCATCTTTGAAGTTCATGAAATCTCTAAATTTCGAAAAGTTTCTACATGTTCTACATTGACCATTAGGCCGACATGCTCATGAAACTGCTGTTGCAACCCCATTTCAAGGCCTTTTTGACCCCCCGCCGAACCATCCCATTGACCCAACGTCAAGTCACCTGTTTGGTCCGTCAAATACTTCCAGCCACCTTCAGGGTGATAGTCTCCAGCGATCATGGCAGCCATGTATTATGTATGGATTGTATGGATAATGTCATCCTTTTCTCATTGAAATAGCCATGATTTTCAGGCTTTCCCAGCCATTTGTGATGGCATCAATGTGGGTAAGCTGCATTGTGAGCGTTCCTTTACCGAGTCGTCGCTGCGTTTTGGAGCATGCTGACTCCAGCTGGGCCATGTAGTATCGAAGCAAATGTCGAAGAACTCCTTCGTGGAACCAATAAATGTGTTGCATATAGGAAAAACACACGGTTATAATTTAGAAAAGCAAACATGAAATAACATGTGTATATAAAAAACAATAATAACAATAATAATAACAATAACAATAATAACAATAATAATAATATTTAGTAATTATTATTATTATTATAATTATATATATATGTGTGTGCGCATATGTGTGTAAATCACATGTATATACACTATTGCAATCCGAAACAATTCTAAATCTGTGAAAATCTCTGAAGTGTTCTCAAGAGCAACCTATCAACAATGCGGCATTGATGGAAACAAATCGGTCTCCGACTTAAGATCCCAAGCGCCCCTTCCAATAAACCGCCAGCTGTGGCACCTATGATGTTCTTGTTCATCAACACCGGCCTCATTGGGTTGATGAAAACTGCCAAGTGCCCTGCTTCCCATGTCGTTACCTTATCACCTGGCCAAACTGCACCTGAAGACACAAAGAATCACATCGACACTCCTAGGAACACATGACATGTCTTGTGCTCTTTGAACGATCAGGTTACAAAAAATATCAAACAATAGTGTAAAATGTCCTGCGCATTCAACTGCGGCTAGGAGTTCGCCAATTGCTGAACAGTTGGGCCAACATACCATTCCCATACCCCAACTTGTGATGGGTTGCTAAAATGGATTACTCATTCAGCTGACTCCATCCCCATGATGGTCCCCGTTCAACCCGAATTTCCTGCTGGCATTGCAATATGGCAAGGCAACTGAACATGTCTGAACCATCCATGTGGGCACCAATAACCGGGCCCACGTTCAACCCCAAAGCTACAGGATTAAAATGTATCTTTAGGGCCCATACACTACAGACTGAATTATTTTCCCAAAGCTGGATCCCGTATCCCGTTATATCATTATCCCGCTAGAATGAACATCAGTATATGACCCTTAATACCCATGATTCATGATTGTTGGTTGGATTCTTCTATCATCAGACCATCAGATTGTATCCTCAGGTTTCCCATATATTAGGATTGCATCATGAAAAAGAAGACCTGTATAACATCCCATGAGCAACACAAAACCAAACGGTTTTGCATTAGCACGAGTATAACAGAAATTAAGGATGCTAAATCCATCTAAATCCTAGATGTATTAATCATAATCAATATCATCAAGTTCAAACAGTCCTGAATCACATGCAATTCCTTCAAGTCATCATTTTCAATTCATTTTCCCCATTGCTTCGTTAGTTATTACAGGGTATCATACTACCCTTTCTAACATGGGGGATTGTCATCATCCATTATTAATATGGGAATTCCTCCCGTTACCAACCGTTGGATTCAACGGAATGACATCCAACGGCTAATGCTGCTCTAACACGGACATTAACATGGACATAATCTGGCAATATAAATATGATATAATAGATATCTCTAATACTGCCCAAGACATTAACATATGAAAGTGTCTTGAAAAAAATCGGATATAATAGATATATATATATATAATATAGATATACCCTCCAATCATCCAATGATCCAGTCGTCATGAAAAAACAACAAAAAACAGTGGAACCAATGGCATTTTCCAAGGTGCACGTCCAGCGCCAAGGCCTGCGTGATGACGCGCGGCGAGGCGTCGTGCACCTGCGACAAGAAGAGGAACTGACTTTGTCGCCTTGGCGGCGTCGGACGTTGGAGAGTTGTTGGAGGATTTGTCCACGGATTTTTCCGTGATTTGTAGCGGATTCTCCAACCTCCCACGAGTTTTTGCATGATTTTGCAAGGATGTTCACATTTTCTGTGGATTTGTTCATGAATTTAATACGATTCTCCGAATTTTCCAGGGAACTTTGCCTACCCAAGCTACTATTTCATCCCCGCATCCCTTTTCAATGACGCACCAATAGGAACACCGATTCTCAGTAAAGCCCTGGCACCTTTTGAAGACTGCATACTGTGAATGGAAGGCACGTCGGTCGTCACCCCCAACATCCCCAACCACAAATGGTTTCGTGGCAATCGATTTGGTCAAAATGGGTTTGCAGAGGCAACATTTAGAAAGTCTAAGGATGAATGTCATTGGATGAATTAACATAAACGATATATGACATTAGTACGAACAACTCCCCTGACCCACGCGTGACTGAACAAACGACCCCAACATAGCGCCGAGGTTCGTGTATTTGAAGAACTCATCTTGATTCAGAAAAGTGGTTTGCGTAATCAATCCTAAGCGATGAACGCTGGCCACTGGCGACGATGATATGGGTGGTTTGAGATGATGCCTATCCGGAAAGCCTGGGATGTACTTACAAGATTGGCATTTCATGATATTTAGCCTTTCTGCAATCAATATTCAAATCGGTCAAATGTTGATCTGAGCAACCAAATACCATATTTGCCGGTCCCGTCATTGGCCCAACCATGGAAAACAACTACTGTCCAGCATCCTCTTAGCAAGGCTATCACGTACTGAATCAACATGCCTGGACGGAACCTTGTTCTTCCCAACTCATGGCCAGAGCTACCTGCAAGTCCGACAAATCTGAAGCCGTTAGTCTCAACCCTTCAAGTCACTGCATGGTTGGTGGTATACCTACCCATCTGAAAAATATTAGTCTTCAGACTTCTTAAATCCTTTAGGATGCCATTTTTGGCAAATAATTTTTTTATGATTTATTTATGATTTGAATACGATTTCCATTTATGATTTCTTTATGGGTTCAAATTGTGGTTATGATTTTTTTATGGTTTGGATATGATTTTTTTATGGTTTTGGATATTTTTTTTGGTTTGCATATGATTTTTTTATGGTTTTGGATATTTTTTTTAATGATTTTTTTATGGTTTTTTAGTCCTCAGAATCTGGTTTTCAGCTAAAAACTCGAGAAATTTTCGCTTTTTTTATGATTTTGCTAGAGTTTCCTTTTCCCCAAAGCCTTTTCAGCAGAAAATTTGATTTTGGAAGCAAAAGCGTAAAAAAATCGTAAAAAAATCGTAAATGCATCCAAGGTCCCCAGAATCTGGTTTTCAGCTATAAAAACTCGAGAAATTTTCGATTTTTTTATGATTTTGCTAGAGTTTCTCTAGGAAAATCGTAAGAAAATCGTAAATCGTAAATGCTTCCAAGGTCCCCAGAATCTAGTTTTCAGCTAAAAACTCGAGAAATTTTCGATTTTTTTACGATTATTTTACGATTTTCCTAGAATTTCCTCTTCCCTGAAGTCTTTTCCACCAGAAAATTTGATTTTTACAGAGAAACTCTAGCAAAATCACAAAAAAATCGAAAATTTCTCGAGTTTTTAGCTGAAAACCACATTCTGGGGACCTTGGATGCATTTACGATTTTTTTACGATTTTTTTTACGATTTTGCTTCCAAAATCATTTTTTCTGCTGAAAAGGCTTTGGGGAAAAGGAAACTCTAGCAAAATCATAAAAAAATCGAAAATTTCTCGAGTTTTTAGCTGAAAACCAGATTCTGGGGACCTTGGATGCATTTACGATTTTTTTACGATTTTTTTACGATTTTCCTAGAGAAACTCTAGCAAAATCATAAAAAAATCGAAAATTTCTCGAGTTTTTAGCTGAAAACCAGATTCTGGGGACCTTGGATGCATTTACGATTTTTTTACGATTTTGCTTCCAAAATCAAATTTTCTGCTGAAAAGGCTTTGGGGAAAAAGAAACTCTAGCAAAATCATAAAAAAATCGAAAACTTCTCGAGTTTTTAGCTGAAAACCAGATTCTGAGGACTAAAAAAACAATTAAAAAATCATAAAAAAAAACATATCCAAACCATAAAAAAATCATAACCACAATTTGAACCCATAAAAAAATCATAAATGGAAATCGTATTCAAATCATAAATAAATCATAAAAAAAAATATTTTGAAACCCCTCCATCCTAGAGACTTAGGAACTCTGAATATTAGTCAATGGGAAGGAAGTATCATATATTGTGGAAAATCAAACATGTTCCAAACCACCAACCAGAGTCATGTTTTTGCCCCTCACCGGACGAAGTGGAAAAAACAGGTATATCCATCAGAGAAAAATCACCTGAAAATTCTATGGTACACCATCCTTCAAGGGGTCATGGAGAACCACAATTTTTGCCCTTCAAAAATGATCGTCCAAATTTTCTCGATCTCCTGGCAGCTCCAATTTTGATTCGATTGTTCTTTTATCCTTTGTAAAATGGTCAAGATATGTGTATATATCCAGGAAAATTATAATAATTCACCAACCTGAATAGTTCGGCCATTTTGGGATGATTCCCCTTATCAACCAGGATTCCAGGTTTCGGGAGAACAGTGAGGTCGTTATAATTTACCCATATATATATATCAGATATATAGTGCTTGTTCAAAGCCAATCCATCCCATGTGCCAACGTGCCAACGGATGATCCACTTGAGAAAAGGCCAAGGATCCCTCACAACTGGCCGGAATGGAGCAGGCTTGTCTGCCTGTGCCAACAGGCGCTCAACGCTGGGCGCTTCTTTTTTTTGGTTTAGATCTAGAGGAAAGCACAGAAGGTGGCAAACATCCTATTAAAAAACATGTTTTCCTGCATCATTGTCAGCATTTCAGTATAAATCAACTACGGTGAGGTTGCGTGGAAAGTATAGGACTTGGCGATTCGCACACAAAAAAGGATCCTTTCCGAGTCAAAACATGTTGTGCAACCAGGAGCGGACATCTACATCTTTTCGCAAACAAGGTTTTTCCGTATCATAATGAAGCATTCAAAAAGTCTCCAAAATTCTCGAAATGCGGTGAAATTGCGCAATCATGCGCAAATTTTGTGGGCCTTGGGGGGATCGGGGTTCAGCTCGGTCCCGGGGAAAGTGATGATCAACCATATGGGCTATCCGCTATCCCCATCTATCCCCTATTTTCAAACTAAGCCATGTGCCATGGTCAAGATGGCGACGTATGGGGAATATATGGTAACTCCATGGGATAAACCCAACAAATAGACCAACGATGACCAACATAACAAGATTAGCAAAGAAAAATAAACAAAAACACAAAGAAACTCACCTATAAATCACCTATAAATCAGCCATCTATGCCATAGCAAGCTGTTGATTTACAGGGCCAGGCCTTGCTTGTCCTTGGTGGCCACCAACACACCAGTCATTTGCAGTTCCCCGCACATCACTTCTAGAGCCTCACGGAAGAAGTCCCAAGGTGAAAAACATGATGATTAATGTGGGTAAAACAATAATAAACCATCCCCCAAATCACAGTTTTTATAGGTGGCATACACCATTCCCAAATGCGTGGATATTATTGTTTTACCCACGTTATTGGTTTTTCAAAACAAGAGATCATGGATAAAATAAATACTATAGTGTATATGTATATGTATATGTAAATATGTATATAAGATATATATATATATACTACTTAAATTGGATGACAACGGGCAATCAATGATAATGGATGATATTGGAAGAGCAAAACTGCAACACAATGATCATGGATACAGCTTACCCACGAAAGAAATTATGAAATTGTGAAGGGATGAATGAATCAATGATCAAATGAATGAAGGAACGACAAAAAACAATGAAACAAACATACGCAATTGGAAATGCAAAGCAGGGTAGATGCCCGAGGCAAATTTGAAAACTATTTATCAGTAACTGCATCTCATTTTTTCCTTACAAAGATCTGTAAATATACATAATTATTTGTATGAACCTATGAAACAATAAATGCATACAGCATACATATTATATATATATATATATACATACGGGTTTCTTTGAAAATGGTGTGCTATCGCAAACTCCTTGTAAAAGCCAAAGGGGTGCCTTTTAATCTGCACTGGGCATTCTTCTCTTCCCAAGTGCTCAAGGAATTCGTTCAAGATGACTTGGCAATCTTGGAGGGTCTCTTGCACAAAACTGCCCCAATCCACACATGCGCTCTGACCTCCATCCTGGCACCTCCTATCTTTCCTAATTTGGATGAGATGGGGTCAACCGACCTCACCAGGCCACTTCTGCCCCGTGAGAGCTTCCATTGTGCTGAGGGGTGAAAGATGGTGAAAGGTTAAACCCGCCCTGGGCTTTGATGAGGTGGCTGCTGGCGGAATAAGCTTGAAAAATTGCCAACTTCAGAACCAGTTGGTCCTGAAGGCTTGGCTTCCAAAGTTCCAGGGATGGAAGCGGCCAGCTGGGTGCTCTATTGGATTTGTTTAAGCCGGTTTAAGAATCCTTTGATCTATTTGCAAGGTATGTTTTGATTATATTTCAAAAAATCCTTGGGGGAAGTGGGACTTTCAGTTCAATTGAATTTACCCTCAGTCTTTCATTCACCCCCTCGTTCTTCTTGTTTCCTTTTTCTCTCTTGCTTTCTTTCTTTTCATCCTGTTTTCTTCCTTCTTCTTGCTCTTTCTTTCTTCTATTTCTTTACTGTTCTTCTCATTCTTGGTTCTTTGTTTATTTCTGTGTGTCGCGGTTTTAGTCTTGGCTACATTAATATTTATATAAATTCTAAATAATGGATAGTTGGATGACAATGGATTGCTAATGGATGAGAATTGTTGACAATTGACCGTGGCTGATAATACAGCTCAAAATCAATATAGTCCTGGATGATAATGGACTGATAATGAGTTAGTATTGAATTCAAAACTGATAATATATGCTTACATACATAATTACTAACAACGGAGAACTTGTCATTGTAAAAGAAGGAAAATAGGATAGACTCTCTCTCTCCATAGGGCGCGCCTACTGCCTGGTAACTATGTGAAATCATTGAAATCCGACACGTCGCTTGGATATACCCTCTGGTAATTTAACATAGCTATTGAAAATTGTGATTTATAGGATTTACCCATTAAAAATAGTGATTTTCCATAGCTACGTTAGTTTACCAGAGGGTAAAGTGGACTTTGTTTTCACCCCTTTTGTAACCAATTTGGCCTTCATTGGCTTCAAAAGTGTCTCTAGTTGGAAAACTCCAGGAGTTTCCTTCCTGCGTTAAAATGCGCAGTATGCTCCCAAAAACTTTACCTCAAGACTCTGTTCTTTGGGAGACCCATATCGGTTCTACAAGATCAACTCTTTGGCAAACCCCATCTGATCAAACATCTGGCGGTTTGGATGCACAATTGCAGATAAAATCAATGACTGGTGGTATGAATCATTGATTTTAAAAAACAACTATATCTGGCCAATGAACGGTTTACAGAATATCGCTTGCTATATCGCGTTTTCTACACACCCACTGGTGAACGAAGTTTTGCTATCCATCAACTAGCCGGGGTCTCGCTAGGCTATGGGATGCTCCTTGATGCTCACAAGTAAATGGTGGACTCTCCATGGCGATGAGGGGCCGAAGGCTAGTTCTGGCAAATAACCATCATCAAATATAGATATAGATATATATATATATATATATATTATATGTATATATATATATATATGTGTGTGTGTGTGTTTCTTCTTGGTTCAATCTCAATTCTGACGGTTGTTTGTTAGTTATATACGTACATCCCTTTGAAACATCCCATTGCGTCACCATTAAATCACCATTGTATTCCAATATATTCCAATTATAGTTGGTTTTATCACCATGATCTTCCAATATATCCTCACTACAGTCCCATTAGTTAGGTATATGCACATATATATATAATATATATATAATTATATCATATCCTATCCAGCAAAATGATCGGTTATTGTTATGTCAAGCTATATCCATTAACATCCCCACTAATGATTCACTAATGTTATAATAATTGTATGTTGTTGTTATTATGATAAAAAATGATAAAAAGTTATATCCATTAATATCTCCACGAACATTCCCAATGACAGTCATAATCCAATGACATCCTCACCTTTCGCCAGGTGTTTCGAAAAAAAACGCTCCGCCTCCTTCACAAAGCTCCAGTTTTTGGCGTACGAAGACCAGCCCATGCAGTCCTGCCACGGAGATGAAGAACAGTTGGAAAGGAAGCCCCAAAAAGATGCCCAAAATGTGTCCAGAATGGTGATGATATTTATTTATATAATTTATATCTATATTGTATCTGATATTCTGATATTTACTATTTATCATGATTTATCTATATTTATCTCATATTTCCAGGTTTTCAACTTTCCGGCATCTTTTTTTCGTGTTGTAAATCAGCAACAAGCTAACTGGTTAAGTTCAAGGGAACATCTTAGCCATAAACCATGGTGAACATACCGTTGATTTGATGGGGATGTGCTGCATTTTTTCTCTAAACCGACCCATTGGTCAATTAGATGACTTGGTCATGAATATCTATAAACATGACAAGTTCATGATGTTCCACATATCTAGATGATCTAGATAACTAAGACATACTTAAGCACACGTATCTGATTTATGTATCTGATCCATATGTAATTTGCCATGATCAAGGTGATCCGGAGAACTTAAGTCTTGAAATGTATCCGATCAAGTTGTAGGAAGCTCCAATTCCCACACACATTACTTGGGAACCACTGAATGGTGGGAACGTGGTCTTGAAAGCATGCCATGTTTGGATCCACATCTTTGTGCTTCCTAGTGCATGTATTAAGCTCAATCATTCCGCAAGAACTGAAACATAAAGACCATTCAAATCATTCAAGACGCTTTCACGCGTGCCGTTGATCTCATATAAATTAACATCTGTTCAGTTTCATTGGGCAGAACGTCTCCGGTCGCCCATCTCCACAATTCCCTCCTGAGCCACATCCTGATCCGAGCCAGAGAAAGTGAAGTCGTACTTCTTCTCCAAGGCCTGCGTCGAAGACGGTCCTCCTTTTCGAGCCCAATTGAATGGATTCTGAAAGAACTCAGATCATCTCAGAGTCTCAGATCAGAAGATCATTTCTACATTCCAACACATGATTCGGTTGCCGTTTTTGTATGTTTTTGTGCTATGACTTGGTACCATTTTCCCCATGATTTGGTTGCCTCAAAGGGGCCTACTGGTTGCCTGCCGCAGGTCAACCCCCCATGTTCCCCACCGCACCGGCATCAGAGCTGGCAGGGAGAAGTCTGACTGCGACAGCAGCAGCAGCTTCACGTGGCTCGGGAAGATCGTCTCCTCAGGCGCGTTTTCGGCGTGAACATCTGCGGCTCTTCGCTGATGCTTGGGAAAAACGGCAGGAGATCAGAGGAAATGGTTGGGAGAACTCGGAGATGAACAAATTGGATCTAAGATGATCTATATGGCTATGGGTCAATACCTATAGATACATTTTTAGTGGGATGAACATCCATAAATCCCAGCTATTTTGGGGTTCACTAGGTACCAGGGTTTTGACCCATCCCCATATAAGTCTCTAAGTGGATGATTTTGAGCGATATTGGGTGTTGGGTGGGCAACTGGGATAAGCATATAGAAAAAACATGAATAATCGAATCTAAGAATAATCCAATTTGGTTGGTTTAGGGAGAGGCCCTCCAGGAAATTCCTTTTTTTTGGCAAAACCGTTAGATTCCTAATGCTTTTCTTTGGGCGCCTACGAATCGAATGACTCAGTCGGTCACCACAGGGGATGACGATGCAGCTGGCCAACGTGGAAAACCCATCAATCGATCGGAGCGGTAAATCATGTTTGATGTTTGATGAAGTGCGAGAACTTATATAATTTATATAGATGAATTTATATAGATGGCCTGCTTGAGGGGATGTCCCTTCCCATAATCCTATAGCTATTTTTAATTCAACTTTTCGACTTCCCAAGGCTGTTGAATGTTGATCCACGGTTGCAACCCCTGTGGCCCCTGCGACTCTGCCAAGCATCTGGATTCCGATGCATGTACAAAAATCCAGGGAAAAGACCCACAAACTTCTTAGGCCTTGGATGCTGGGCGCCCATCCATGGGGTGCCACAGTGAAAATATCAATAGTCTGCGATAATTTCTAATGGGTTGTGGAGCTAGGAAAGGGAAAGGGTCCCAGATTTAAGCTTTACTCAGATCTTCCATCAATCTTTTGTTTATAACTATGGCTGACATGCAATTCTATGCAATGATTCGCGCTCTCTTTTTTTTTCTCTCTCTCTCTCTCTCTCCATTGCCTTCAGACCATATGCAATTACTTCGTATATGATTACTGGTTGGTGGTTTCAGCCCCTCTGAAAAAGATTCGTCAATTGGGATGATGACATTCCCAATATATGGAAAAATAAAAGCCATGTTCCAAACCACCAACCAGATTATTATGCCAAGATTATTATAATATAATATTGATCTAGATATATTCCCAATAGGTCCTGAGGATTATGGATATAATCATTTGAGAGGATGGGGTTACTATCTGGAAGGTGACTATTTGGTCAGAGGGTTTGATCCAGAAAAATAAAAAAAATACTGAAAATATAAAAACATAAGAAATCTTAAGAAAATATTAAAAATAATATTTTTATAGAAAAAAATAAACATATAAAAACAGATTAAAAAATAATAAAATATATATATATATATAAATATTAAAATATATTAAAATCTATGCGATCTATAAACATTAAAAAAAAATAAAATTTTAAAATAAACAAAAATAACATATAATAGATCATATCCTCAGGACCCAAACTTCGCCAAGCTCTCCATCCTTCCCTTACACCGCCCAGACACGGGAAGCCCGAGGAGTAGGGATTGGGTGCTGGAAGGGGGTAATCCTCCCAACCTGGAAAGGGTCAAGCCATACGACTCAGACTGTGTTGGAAGGGCCGATGGTGAAACCATGGGATACCATGGGCCATGGCCCTCTTTCCAGTCGGCAAAATCATCTCAATTCTATGGGATGATATGGGGCTACCAATGGCAGTCCAAGCGACATTTTGGATGCCAACCCATCTCCATCAGTGATACTATCAGAAGCTCATTGCGGATATGTCTTTGTGATGGTTTCCGCCTAGCTCCACTAATTTTGGGGCGAAACTGTCATGAATTTTCAACTGCTTGGTGGTTTCAAGCCGCAAACCCTGAGAAATAAGATATGCGAGGCTTCATGGGTGGATTTGGAAGGTATCAAAAGCCCTGCTTTAAAAGAGTCAATCGGAAGAAAGTGCTTTTCACCCCCATTCACTTCCCTAGCCAAAAATATGTCGGAAAGCGTCTATTTTGACATGAGCCGCGCTCCCGTGGGTTGCCAGCATCACTGCCTGACGTTCAAGACGTAATCAAGATATATATGTACCAATGGCCATACCACGCTTGTACTGTTCCCCATCCCGCAAATGGTGGCGGGTTACATGCCACTTCATGGAATGGCCTCACTTGGAATCATTTAATTGCTTAACCAATTTGGAACTGTTGAATGATCTGACCACTATATATATAGTGTTCCCAACAAATTCCCAGTGATGACTGCTCGCCCGTGTTAAATCTATGTATATTTGTAGTATATACTTCAATACCCCCATCATTGAAGACGTTGGCAGTTTAACAATCAAAAATGGTTCTCTCCATCGCCTTCTCGAAGAGTTCAGCCAAGCTAAGGGGTCAAAAATTGTTGGGAAAAACTACTGTATTTTCTCCCCACCCTTTTGGTCAGTGTTTGTTCACCAGCGAAGTCCAGCAGTTGTAGCCAGGTAGCTGCTGATTCCAAGGAAAAGGATCTCATCCTTGAATTTCTGGTACAACTGCCTTGGGAACACCAAAATATATCAAGTTATATCATGTTGCTTGGTTATATCAAGTTATATCCCATTATCATCACCATTTTTTTTGCCCATTTGGGATGACAAACATATGCCTACTACAAATGTGTTTTAGTATGTTGTCTACTTATATGTCATTTTAGCTTGATTATGCGGTAGTTATGTCATGCGGGTAAACCAATAATAAACCACCCATTTGGGAATGGCTTATACCACCTATTGGTGGTGAAATTGGGGATTGTTTATGACATTGTTTTACCAACATTCATGTTACCTACTCTGTGGCTATTTTGGATACTTGTATGACATTTTAGCTAGATGATTAGATACTTATATCATGTTATATCAGTTATATCCTGTTATATCATTATATCCCACATTATCCCACTATATCCCAGCGTTATCTCATTTTGGATGGCAAAAAATGCCTGCGATCACCAGCAAAAAAAAACACCGGTCTGGCCCGTCGGGGTGCTCTTGGTGATCCGTCCGGAAAGGCGATCGGACCAAGATGACGTTGACCTTCGGTGTTCACGTCGTGAGAGCAACGTGAAACGAGTTTTGCTGTGAAAAATCCTTACTGGTGCTTAGTACAATGTGAGGCCCCCAAGATAGCTAAGTTGGTTTAGAACTCCAATAACTATGGTTTATGGTACTTATAACTATAGTTACTGGGGCTTATAAACCAACTTATAACTGGGGGGCCTCACATTGTAGGGAATGGATGAGAATGGGGGAATGGGATGATGATTGATAGTTATTGTGGATCGTTCCCTCATTCCCTACTAAGCACCAGTAAGAATCTACCGGTAAATCCCAATTTATATACCAAGACAATTTGGACAATAGTGAGACAACAGAACTTATATAAATCCCAAATTGGATTTCAAAACGTGAGACCAATAAGTTCCTCCAATTTATATACCAAGAACATCTAAAAAATACGTGTAAATATGTGTAAATATAATCATGTCACATCCTACAGATCTTATATACCAAGGAACAAAAACACGTATTATTTTCATTGGTGGAAGTGACCTGCTCCTCGAGTGACCTGCTCCTCGAGTGATCTTCCCTACTCCGGCCATTCAGCAAATCGTCCGGGTACGGTATAGATTCACTGGCGCACATTGCATTTACATTGCATTTACCCTCTGGTAATTTAACATAGCTATTGAAAATAGCAATTTATAGTTGATTTTCCCATTAAACATGGTGATTTTCATTGATTTTCCATAGTTATGTAAACGTTTACCAGAGGGTACCCGAAACATTGAAAACTGAGAATCCATGAGCATCCCACCATATGTGCACTGATTTCCAACCGGGAAAATCCAAGTGGCGAACCGGCCGTGTTCGTTGCGCACCGGCTGGAAGGGATACCTTGGGAGCCAGGATCCGGAAATTTAAGATAGCTATGGTATGGATGGCCCCTTTACAGATCATTTACCCTCTGGTAAACTAACATATAGCTATGGAAAATGGCCCATTGAAATCGATGATTTTCCCAGCTAGAAACCTCCATTTATAAGGGATTTTCCATGGCTATGTTAAATAACCAGATGGTAGCGAAAAATGGTGGTTTTCATATATTGTAAACTTACAGTGGTCTCATCGACAGGTCTTGTTGCTGCCCCGGACTTGCAGGTGATATCTGAAAACATGATGGCAAATCCCTCATACAAAAGAAGCGGCATGTGTATCTTCTAGTTTGGCCATTTTGGCTGGTCAAACCCATTTTGCCTGCTCAAATTCAAACATTTGTCTCTCACACCCTCTACTTCGGCCAATCAAATCCTCACTCTCCCTTCTCAAATTTCCCTTTCTTATTTCAATCTCAATTTGTATTACTCACAATCCAATTCTTGGCTGCTGTATCCCCAGTAGGGCTAGGCAAAATCCATGGCCAGAAAATCCGAATTCTGTTGGCTTGGAATGCCCAACAAATTATGCAATTAGATGATTCACATGTTAAATTACATGATGCTACATTTAGATATCATATACATTCATATATAATTCATATATACTATATAAATACTGACATAACTAACATTGTTTAATATTTGTAATATTTTACTGGGACCTGCCTGAAAAAGATCTTCCCAGTCCCAGCTGCTCTCGAATCAAGGCCTTGTACTTGGGATGTAGCTGGGAGCTCAGCGCTTTGCCACGTGGCCGTGCAGGGGTCCTTTTTGACAGGCGACGAGGCCCGGGAAGCACAATGAAAATTGGGGATCATGTGTTAAAATATGTTAAAGGAACCCTGGCACTTAGAATCACTCAGTTGGCAATTCATGGCATTGCATAGTGGTTCACTAGTAAGAATCCACGAGTGTATTAGTTAACAACCGGAGGCAATTTGCATACAGATCGATTCAACTCACAAATAATACTGTTTCGGATGCACAACAAAACAACATACGTTCTACCGGTACAGAGTGGGGATGTACTCAACCATGACAGAAGTGGAAGCCCCTCATCCCCACTAGCCTTCCAAATCATGTAACATGCAAATGCAGGTACTGACGTCCGAGAAACAAGCCAAATACCCAAATGCAATCAAATACATCAGGTTGAGGATCGCATCTTGTTGAGACGTGTTCTTTTTGACCTTTTCATACCTTTTCAACCCTTGAGAGCTGCTTTCATGGGTCAAACGCTGTTGTCAGTCAGTGTTGAATCCCATGTTGTGGCGTGAGTTTGTCTTACTACTTGCACCACCAAGTAATTTTCAGGATGATGAGATGATGTGGGTATGGGCAACATATGAAGCACCTAAACCTGTAGCCGGTCACCTGGGTCTGAGAGTTTGAGCCACAATCAGCCAATCCAACATTTAAGCCAGGGATCTTGAAGGTCTTGAGGTAACACCGTGTCTCCGACTCGTGTTTCCTCGTGTGACCGCAATGTAGGATCTACAGTACATGGATCTACAACGGTAAAACAAGCGCCTGGGAGCTATGAAATAAATCACCCCAAGCACTACCATGTCATAAACCATCCAATTGAGCAGGCTGCCATGTTTTTTCCAACAACTCTTCGGGTCAACACCTGAAATCAAAAATGCAACATGCACACTATGGTTGTTAAAACCAGCAAGAATCAATCACCAGCCGGCCATTTCATAACATGTCGGGTCATTCTTCCAATTTATTCCATTTATTTCCAGTTTCAGAAGCTCAGCTGCTTCAACCAACGTTAAACGAACCAAGCCCAGCCGTGGCCCCAGTGGCCCCAGCCCCAGCATGGCTCAACCCGCCTTTGCTGCGAGCCTTTGGGCTGGTCTTTTCCAGCTCCCCAGCCCCACCACTCGAAACCCTCCACGGACTCAAAGGTCGCGCCCGCAGGAAACCTCCGCCAAGCAACGGGTACCGGGATGGACAGGTGTGCCCCACACCTGGAAAAACACGACGAAAAACATGGAAGAAGTAACTTGGCATACGTTGGGATCATCAATTTCTTGGAAAGTCAAATCAAAGAATAGGAATAACATGGAATAAATACATTGACATTATACATTATTATGCTATATTTGTGGTATGCTGGGATCATGAAGGATAGGTAATGGGAGGAAGGTGTGGGAAAATCATGGAAAATCAGTAGAAGTGGACACCGCTCGCCAATCTGAGATACACTTACACTGATTCTTGCTAGCTGCTTGGTACACATTACCATCTATGACAAAAAATTAGAGAATTGAGCTACCTGTACCTACCTTTCACGAAGATCTTCCTAAGTTCTGACGCGCCAAGACACCCCATTACTTGGTACAAGGAGCCTTTTAAGTTAATCTCCCAGGTTCCATCAAAGCTACGCTTCGGTCAGTAAGCATGGCACAGGGACATCCACCTTTTTAATAGAAAAATCACCCCAAAAAATGCGGAAGTGTCCATTGCCAGGTCAGTTTCTCGTTTCGCCACCTGATATCGCAGCCACCATCACCACTGGAAAAGTCCTAATGGCCCCGGATGAAAGGACCAGTTCCTCTGGAAAAAAATGATGTATTTTTTAATGGGCTTTGATTTGCTACGGAAATCAAAAGGAAACCTCTGGGCGGTCAGTATGATATGTCTAAATATATATATATTTATATACAGTATATTAGTCTTTCCCAAAAATCACAGAACTTGAGCGGCCTCAGTGTAGCAAACATTTCGATGGTGGACGTGCTTTGACTGTTGAAGCCATGCTGAAACCACCAACCAATGGTTTTTCTCTGACAACTCACTGAATTTAGTAGCTGATTACAGACAGTAGTGGATGTAGGGTCCATAAAACAGATTGAACTAGATATTGGGATAGAACCAGCCGCCATTTTGATTCTTCTATCATCCCGTTGGTTGCATTGCCAACTCTATAAACATGGGAAAACATCAAAACTTTGGTTGGTTGGCAAATGTTCCTTTTGATGCCCCAACCCCCACCAAAAAAACATAATGTCTCTGTCCTTCACCAAGGTTCCCCCAGATTACTGGGTGATCTCAGCAAATTTCTGGGAGCTTCTCAGAGGGCCTTTGCCCCACCAGGCTGAAGTTTCCCTTCCAAATACCCTGTTTATCATCGCTTTCCCATTAGTAAATATATAATATACGCAAACCAATTTGGGCAACGCGCATTCATGGAGAATTCAACCATCAGCGGTGACCGGTCCAATTTCGATGAAACCCCGATTTCTCATCCCTTGGCGGGTCACCTTTGAAAAGAAGGCTGGTTGAAATCCCTATATCCGTCTGGCGGCCACCTGTCACCAAGTTTCAAAAGCGATGCTTTCCGGATCACCCGCTGCGATGGCCGCGCATTCCCGCAAGGACTTTCCCACCGCATGCAGCGAAGAAAATCTGGCGGAAAAGGGGGTCGGCTGGGTCAACTTCCTGAAGGACATAGGAAGGGAAAAAACACTGCTGGATTTCTGGATCCATGATCACTTGGCAAGAGCATCAAATGATGTCAGTTCCTTCAAGTGAATCGAGGCATGCTATCACTTCCGGCATCTACGTATCTACCTATCTAACTATCTCATCGTACCTTGTCTTATCTACCTAGTACATCTACACTACCTATATTTACACCTAATTATTGTGAAAGTGGATGAAAGTAGGCTATCATTCCAACATATACTCAATATGAACCAACCTCTGTGATCGCCAGGGGCCTTCAATTTTCATCGGAGAGGCCAACTTGTGGAGGTCCCCATGAAGTGGTAAACCCAAGAATTTTACCATCCCATTCACCAAGCATTTGGCGGTCCAAAAAGGAGATGCTTTCTTATTGGCTGGCTGCCGTTTCTGGCTTTTGCTACATCAAAAACATTATACCCAAAAAAATCATCAGAAATAAGCCATTAAAACCACTCTTTTTTGGTCTCTCTCGGAGATGGTTTCTCATTGATTTTTGCCACAAAAGCCATACCCTCTGGTAAACTAACAGTTCGCTATTGAAAATGCCCATAGAAATAGTGGATTTACCATGATTTTCCCATTAAAAATGCTGCTTTTCCAAAGCTATTTTGACATAACCAGAGGATAAAAACCATAGAAGCGACGCTCCAATCCTTCCCGGATTCCAAGGGGCTCTTGGTCCTGCGAGTCGACACAAAAGCCATCGCCCACATCTTTCCAGCCGGCGATGTCCAGAGAGACCTCCAGTGGGGCGGCCGGTGAGAAAAAGGGGGGTAATAAGCAACACTTATAGTGGAATATCATGGAAACAGTAAGGGAAAATCATGGGCATATCATGGAAATATTATGGGAAAATCATGGGCATATCATGGGAATATCATGGGAAAAAAACATGGGAATATCATTGAAAAAACATGGGAATATTATGGAAATATCATTGGCAAATCATGGGGGAGTCATGGAAAATCATAGGGATACCATGGGAATTGAATATCATGAGAAAATCATGGGCAATATAACCATCAACAATATTCACAAATGGGAACATAACCAACAGTTGATGGGAAATATCATAGGAACATAATGGAACATAATGGGGGATATCACCGAGGTTTTTAACATTTAATGGGAAATAATGGGAGAAAAACAGGCCGTGGAGACCTTCTTTAAAAAGGCCGTTGCCACGCCAAAACTGGGAAAAAACTAGGCGTTGCAAGCTTCGGACAGCAGGCCAACGTTGGGTTAAGAGCAAAGTTCTCCGAAAACCCTCCGGACTGATTTGTTAGTTGCGAGTACGTAGTTGAGATGATGGTATATAAAATAGATAGCACATTCATAGCTGATGTATCTATTACCCTAGGGTAAACTAACGTAGGTGTGGCAAAAAAAAGTACTATGATGTACTATGCTTAGTGTACAATTTAATTGGATCCCTCGGTGTGATTTGTTCCTAGGCGATTTGAGCAATTCCCATACTATCATATGTGAAATACCACTCAACAATCACATGAAATACCACTCAACAAGGGGCCCCCGAATTCATGAACAAATCCAACAATTACATTCCACACCGGCTTTCTTTGGGGGTATCTTTGTATTGGGAGGACATTTTAGAAATTTGGGCATAATAAGCCAAGACAAAACGCAGCATTGTGTTCTTTGATAGTTTTTGAATATGATTCGCTGGCATTTGGGAGGAATGTGTTGGCCACGATACTGTGGGATACCCATGGCAAAATCACCAAGAAAAGTGCACCTATAGTGATTTACTGGCCATCTGCACGGCTATATCTCAGGGGGCCTGACCAAATGGAGGATATTTGCATTTCGCACTGAAAATTTGCTTTCTCCTCCTCGAAGCATAGATCTACCGACCACAAATGCTAGTGAATCTATGAGCCAACGTAACTAATCTTTGATAATTATCTATACTATATAGTTATATGCAATATATATATATATATACACGGAGAACCTCCGACCTTTTCTTTACCCAAATTGCACCCAATCAAAAAAACAATAGCCTCTATGGATATGTAGAATCTGAAATTTTCAGCCCGGAAACCCATGAATTTCCATAGCTTCAATCATGGTGAATCATCAGACTAAATGGGCCATAGCATAGCATTGCCACAGTTGTCAATGCAAGCAAATTACCAGATGGTAACTGCCATTGCACAGATTGGAGGTACCTACCAGATATACCCTCTGGTTATTTAACATAGCCATGGAAAATCACCATTTTTAATAGGTAAACCATCTATAAATGGGCCATCTATACCATGGCTATGTTAGTCATAACCAGATGGTAAAGCCTATATGAGGACTATGGGGTCCTGAGATTCGCAAGTCCCTGCCATGGCCATGGCCATGGCCATGCCTCTTCAGATCCCCTCAGCGCCCGCTTCGCCAGTGGCGTCGCAGGCGACACCGCAGCTGGGGCAGGGTTTGACGGTGCCAGCGGCCTGGAGCTCGGGCCACTGAACGATTTTCAATCCAAGGTGGTTGTTATATCCTCTGGGAATTTAACATACAACAGGGAGCCCACCTTGTGGAATGTGGGATTTCAATCATCGCTCAAACGGGAACTGATGGGGATATGTGATATGTGGATTTTGTGGGGTTATAAGTTATAACGGATATCATTGTTTGTATCAGCACATGGGTTTGTGTAAAAATGTGGTGTACTCCCAAATTGAGCCTTCTTGAGAAGGAACATGAGTCATGAGGTTCAAAACCACTGGATTTTAGGTGTCCCCTATTTTCAAACAAACCAACATTACTATCAAATACTATCAGATATTGTGAGTACACTACGTACTTACACTGGATCTAATTTGTTTTTAAGGGATTTCCATGGCAAACCTGAGATACCCCACAAAAAGCAGAGCTGTTTTTGATGCGAGGTTTGAACTGTATTTTTGTCAAATAGAGTTAGCCGACCCGTTGACCAACTTTTGTCCAAGAACTTTCCAAGAACAGATGAATATAATTCATCAACCATATCACATGAGTCAAAATTGATTTACCCACTCACACATATGTGGACATTAATTACTTGACGCAGCCTCTCCAGCATGAAGATTCATTCACTAAGTGTTTCCATATCTTTCCTTCACCCGATTTTTAACAGTTTTCGGATGGGAACACACCCCATGTTTCGTGGATTTCACCTGTCGATGTATTCTTCATGGTACATTCCCCATTTTTTCAAGGGAAGATCGGCATCTTTGAGAGTCAAACCTCTCCACCGCCTCTCAGTGATGGATTCGGTAAGTGGCTGCGCAGGCTGCGCACGCAGCTTGTCCATCAGCCAGTGCTCCATTTCGTTCCTTGGCCGCGGTGCGCAGAGTTGCAGTTTAAAAACTTGAGTCTTTTTTTTGCTACTTCTTGATGGCAAATCATGTTTAATTTCCATCAACAATAGGAATTTTTAACAGATCTATTGAAATTATTGGGAAGAGTTTGATCTCCAATAAACATCAATAAACAGTTTGATATCCATGAAGAAACATCGAGGGCCCAGGAACGGCTTGGGAAGCGTCTTGAAGATGGAGGGCCACAGGAGGATCGCCACAACCTGGCCGGTGCTGTGATTCACGTGACATGTCTCACAATTTTTGAGTGAAAAAACACAACATTCATTGGTTCATCATCATTTTTACTCGTATTTCTTTGGGAAGTACCCCATTCTCAGACACATCGTGCAGGTTTTTGGGCACCCTCTTTTGGTTTTTGGATGATGGACGTGGGTGATGATCCAAATAACAAGTCCAAAATGTAACCTTTCAACAAATATAAACCGTGCACGCTTTCATTTTTTTTAATCAAAGACATGCTTCCAATCTAGTTTATATCTATTAAAACACTTATTATATAATACCCGCATTTAGGTCACAAAGTCAATATCAAACATTTAATAATGTATATATACATATGTATATATATATATATATTGGAGCCAATTGGGCCCTTGGAAATTTCAAGGACGCCTACTACGTAGCTATTACATCTGGTCAATTCAATTTTGCAAACCTGCAGAGTTCGCCCATGAATGGCGCGGTCCGCCATGGGGGTCGCATTCCCAATTCACAACATAGCACCCCCAAAAAAAGATGCACAAAAACGAGAGAAACATGGAAATAGTGGAACAACAAAAATCAACTAATTCACATCCTGATTTCGTACTTCTTCGGCATCTTTTGGGGCGTATATCTGTATCTATATATGGTATATATATATATACTGTGTATATATATATATACACATACTGTATATATATAATATTGGTTTCTCATGTTTCTCCATTTTCATACCCAATTGACTGGCTGTATCCCTATCCTCCCTCCGAGACGCCAAAGCGAAAAGCTGCGCCAGCAAGAGCATGGCGGGAAAGTGGTAGGGGCATTGGAAGGAATCGTCCAGCCTGGGTTTTGGGAAAATCATATCTAAAATGTTGACATGGTGATTTCATCAGAGGTTGCCGGAGATTTAATGTGAATTAGTTGGGTTACAGTAAGGGTTTATAGAAGGATATTTCCTGTCTCTCTTCGGGAATTAATTGATAGATATTGATAGGTATACAGTATACACAGAAATAATTGGTGATTTAATGAGGAGGTAGCAGGGATTATATAATGGGGTGATTATATGGGACACAGCTTAGTTATCAAATGGGCCCTGCCATGAATTTGGATAATTTGGGGTTGGAAGACCACTTTTCCTTTTTTTTGTGCCTCAAGGTCTATGTTAGTTCGAGGGATGGTATTTCTTCTGGAAATCTTATGGCTTCCTGTGGTTTCAGCAGCAATCCCAACAAATGGGATAATCATCCCCCCCAAAAAAAACACATTTTGACCATGCCAAGTAATCGCCCCAACGGGTCAGCGTTTCTGGATCATCGCAACTGGCATGGAAGCAATGATGTCCTATGGGGTACAACTGAGGGTATAACTATAACATGCAAAATATATGGTTTATCTCCCTATCTACTATCTACCAGCTGGGAGTATCATCTGTGGTATGACAGCCCCAAATGATGAGAAAACAAATTTGCCATCACATACTGGTACTATCTGGTACTGTACCCAGAATGGTGCTCAAGAATGGAGAAAAAAAAACCTGAGATTTTGGAAAGGACGGACTTGAGTCCAGGTTGCTTCTCTGCTTCGGTGTATTTCAACGTTTTGATTGCAATTTGGGACACATCCATACACGACACTGAGTCACTACAAAGCTGCTGGCCCCTTGTTATAAGTTGTTTTCTTTTTCCTCACATTCCCTATAACTACAAATGCAATTAATCACCATTAGTCACAATTGATCACCATTAGTCACCATTAGTCACCATGAATCACCATTAATCATTAATCACTTAATCACCATAAAAAAAAACCATGAATCACCATCATTTGCACAAACTTAGCAATTCCAGACTGTGGCCCAGGGCAACTAGGGCCCCATGCAAGCATCCAAGTAAAGAGAAGAATGCGATAGCCGACAGCAAAACCATGGTCGCTATCAAGTGCTCCTTGGCTCCACGGTGCACCCAACGTCAGGTGGAAAACCTGGGTATCCCTACGAAGCATCATTCCACGGTCCCAGTGAGGTCGTTACAATTTACCACAATAATTACATCCGTGAATATCCATGATCTCTTATGCGTGTACCCTCACAGGAGGAATTTTCTTGAGGTTCTGTGGGTGCTCCTCAGTCGTGGACAACACTGTGAAAGTTTCAATGGCTTGGACCTCTGGCTGCCTTGGATGTAGCAGCACCCTAGGTGCAGGATCCATGGGCGGCCAACAGGCGGTGTATTCGCGGAAAGTGCTGTGTCGCCGCTGGGAAAGGAGGCCAGGGCCACTTGAATCTTCTCTGCTGCGTTACGTTGCTCCACTGGCCACGAATTGCAAAGCACGCTCTCGAAATCGAAGCGGACAAAAATTCTCACACGGCAATGGCAAAACATATCGCCGCATCTGCAAAGGTGCATGGGCTGAAGGTGCAGGACAGTTCATTGTTGCACATTCACAGACACAAAATCACACATGCATGGCCAAAAAAAATGGATGGCTACCATGGACGGATGGTTTGAACACATGCGCGCGCGGAGATGAATTCATCTGTGCATACATGATTTTGCGCGGATAAAAACATTCTAGGCCCTGCCCACCTAGAATATCCATCCAGCATGCACGCAGAGATGGATGCATGTCAGGGTCGATGTTTTATGGCCCTGGACGACATCTGGGCATCTGAAGAAACATGATTGCATCAGGAATGCGCAAGGGAAAAATTATCCGCGAACGGTGAAATATGGTTAAATATCTGAGATATTTTTTCGCGCATCAAAATTAACTTAAAAACCAAATTCCCAATGATTCTGGATGTGTTGTTTGGTCATGGAATGGTTGTTGAAACATGTCCAAATGGTAAACCCATTTTGCTTCACCCATGTCTTTTCAAGATGATCGTCTGGAAATGATGGATGGTGCAGGGGGTACGACCTCCCTCCACCTTCCAATAAATCAAAATAGATATGGACAACCCTGCCTTCGGTAGATTATTTTCAGAACAAGAAAAACCAGTCGTTTTCCATATCTACGTTAACTTACGTTGAAATTCCTTGGAGATCTTGAGTTCTCCCCCCTTTCCCATCTAGTACCTTCAGTCCCTCCCACTTAAATCATCACCACGTCACCCTTCAAAGGATCCAACACTTCAATAATCCCCTGAGACATGAAATGGTTCGCAAGTGAGTTGTAGCCTATAGAATTCCAAAAACTGGCTAAGGAAAATCCCAATCTCAATCTTCGACAACAGAAAACTGGTCCGAAAAATAGATCTAAAGCATTTAAGTGGACATAAGTGGACGATTTCGGGCCAAATTGGATTCTCCAAGGGAAAGATGTTCAGACTCCAAACGGCCCAGACTGCTCATCCACGTCGGAGCATCATCCGTGGACTGCGACAATTCTTCCACCGCGAAGAACAGCATCAACGGAGCCATGACCACCGCGATCATCGGGCCCACCCTCGGGGCCACTCCATGAAGGTGCTGCATGGGCAGTGGGAACCAGCTACATCCAGCTACCCGGTGCCCTGACCTAGGATTCCTCTAAATATGCAACTAACAAATCCGATTCGATATGCATATGTGTAAATAAATAAATATATATATATATAATATATATATATAGGGTTATCCCGGCAGGAGACCCCAAACAGTGTGGCGGAAGCAAAAGGATAATGAATTATAATGTTGATGATGATGTTAATTAATGTCGATGATGTTGATGATGATGGTGTGGGTGATGATGGTGATGATGATGATGATGATTCTGATGATGACGTGGATGATGATGGTGATGATGATGATGGTTAAGGTGGTAATGATGATGATAATGATGGTGAGGATGATGATGAGGATGAGAGGAAGATGGTGATGTTGATGTTGAGGACGAGGAAGAGGATCATGTTGAGGAGTAAGACCGATCCCAAGACCGGGAAGCACACTGTGTGCGAGCCTGCGCAGTCGAAATGCACATGGACATTTCACAAGAGCCATTTTGTGGAAATTTACAGGGAAATGCCGCACGCGTCGCCCACGGACATCGTTTTGTGCGAGCCTGCGCAGTCCCGGATACCACCTCGATTGAACACCGGGCCTTAACTGTGATGAATGACGTGCCAGGCCATAAGGCTTCACCAAACAAGCAACTTGTCACTCCTTTGTCCACCCGGGATCAACTTGGGTATAGCCAAGGGCACTCAAGATAAACCAATCAGCAAATGTCAAGTAGAGTTCCTGTTCGTGGCCAACTTGGCAAACCTCCCCTCTAACCGTATTAATCATATTAATCTGTAGGTGCAACAAAGGTCCTAGTAACTCCGTACTACAGCTGGGGCTTCTGACCAGAAGAGCCATCCCAGCTTCTTGGCTCCCTTTCGCTTCGGCATGGCGAAGAACGGCCGTTGCAACGAAACCCTGTAAGGTTGGAGAACGTTGGTGTCTGCGGTGGATGTTTTGTGGGGTGGCCTTGCTGTGCCTGTCGGCCAAGAAACACGGCCCCAGCATATCCAAACATCATTTGGCATGTATGGTGTCATGAAACCACCTACAATAACAACAAGAACTGGTTCATGAAACCACCCAAAGTTCAATGTGTGGGCTCAGGATGGGAAAAACATGTTCAAAACTAGCAATCAGCATTGATCTTGGGTGAGCCATGGTGAAACTAACTGCGTTCGCCATTTGTAGCTCATGTGTCAGAACGATGCAGCACGGGCAATTCTGGGATCATATGGATGATGGGTCCTTCATTCGAGCGATTTTGCGTGGGTAAAGGATACCACACAAGAGATCATACATGAATAATCTGCAGCGGCTTCAAGTCTCATTGCCGTTTGCACTGCGGGTAACATATTTTTGCTCTTGAATCTAATCTAGCACCCTTTACCATCTGATAATGAAACATAGCAATTGGAAATCCAGCTGGGAAAATCAACTATAAATAGGTGGATTTTCTAGCAAGCCACTTGGCAAGTTACGTTTGATTGCCAGGTAATCACAATGATGTCAAACCGACCTTCGGTCCAAACACTGTTTGTTGGGCTGCACATGGAGCAGCCACCAAGTCATTTGGACATGCAAACGCTGCAGGGCTTCCGAAGGGTAGCCATCAAGAGTTACCGAAGCCATCACAATGTTCGAACGTTGGACCAAGGTTCTTAATGGTTTGAAGATGTTCTCTCCACTTGACATCAATCAAACATAGGAATAAGACCGTTCTGGAGCACATGGGATTGGATAACACGACATGTCACATGCATGACATCACCAAGTGCCATCTCGGCCATGTCAGCCCCATCCCTTGAGATCCCGATCGGGCACAATTTAAGGTGCCACGTGGCTCTTCAATGCTGTGAAAAATGCTCCGGAAGATCAAATCACAAACAGTTTGACAATTCCAATTCCAATGGCATTGTGGCATCAGGTGATGTTTCAAGTCCCAGAACATCCAGAACCAAATATCTTTTAATCCACATTTGCTGTTGCGCGCCAATGCTTGCGCCCGCATGCCCCGGGCTTTCGCCCGAATTTTTATGGCCGTACCCCCAGGGCATCACGCCCCGGGGCGAGACTGGCATGGGGTGAGCGCCACCCCCACGTTTAGGGCTATAGGTTTTGAATTCCCTTGTTTTCACTGGGAAGCACAGACCGGTATGTTGCACCTCATGTAGAATTCCGGGCATGGCAAGGGGAAAGCAATTTTTTCAAGACGGATCTGAGATTTGTAGATTTCATTGGATTTCTTCCAGCCAGGTCACAGTGAATCTTTGGTGACAAGTCGCCGGGGGCCTTGGGTCACAATTTAAATTTGGAGCCCAAGATCTATGCATATATATATATTATATACACAGTATATAGTCACAGGTGCGAAAAAAATCACATGTCTAGGTTCCGAGGGCCTAAATTGTGACCCAGACACAAGTCTGGTTGGTGCTTTCAACCCATGCAAGAGACATAAAGAACACGAGCTTCGATGTCAAAGTTAAAACATTTAAGGAGGTTTTCTAAAATGGGGGTACCCCAAAACCATGGGTTTCAATACATTTCAATTGTATAAAATGGTCTCACTTTGGATGATTTGGGGTACCCCGATTTTGGAAACCCCATTTTGAAACCACCAGCCAGTCTTTAGTGGTTTCAGGTTCCCTTAATCCATGCACACACCACTCAGCCAGTGTTTCCTGGAGCGTCACATTTGGCGGCCAATGGTTGGACATTTCTAGAGTTGAACTGTGAATGCTTAACCTGAAGGGTTTGATATCTCTTCCCTTTCTGATATAAACACCACTAAGAAACTCTAGGGGGTCTGTTCGTCATAGGGCTGACATAAGTGTGGGTGAGATGTGGAATGACGTTATATCCTTCTATTTGGTTCATGTGTTTCAGCAGGGTTTATAGCAAAACCATGGCGGGCACACCACCATAAATCCAACTCTTGGATAGTATAGTGCAATCTAGTGCATGTTGAGTACGCATATATATATATATATATGTACCCATAGGATCCATGGTGCTGGTCAAAGGAAGTTTAGGGGGAGAAACTTCCGTGTTACGGACTTTTAGAATGTCAGGGAAAGAGTTAGTCAAAGAAAGAGTTAGCAAAGAAAGAGTTAGTCAGGGAAAGAGTTAGTCAAAGAAAGAGTTAGTGAGGGAAAGAGTTAGTCAAAGAAAGAGTTAGCAAAGAAAGAGTTCGTCAGGGAAAGAGTTAGTCAAAGAAAGAGTTAGTCAAAGAAACAGTTAGTCAGGGAAAGAGTTAGTCAAAGAAAGAGTTAGTGAGGGAAAGAGTTAGTCAAAGAAAGAGTTAGTGAGGGAAAGAGTCAGTCAAGAAAGAGTTAGTGAGGGAAAGAGTTAGTCAAAGAAAGAGTTAGTCAGGATATATGAGGTAGTCAAAGAAAGAGTTAGCAAAGAAACAAGTTAGTCAAAGAAAGAGTTAGTGAGGGAAAGAGTTAGTCAAAGAAAGAGTTAGCAAAGAAACAAAGTTAGTCAGGGAAAGAGTTAGTCAAAGAAAGAGTTAGTGAGGGAAAGAGTTAGTCAAAGAAAGAGTTAGCAAAGAAAGAGTTCGTCAGGGAAAGAGTTAGTCAAAGAAAGAGTTAGTCAAAGAAACAGTTAGTCAGGGAAAGAGTTAGTCAAAGAAAGAGTTAGTGAGGGAAAGAGTTAGTCAAAGAAAGAGTTAGTGAGGGAAAGAGTCAGTCAAAGAAAGAGTTAGTGAGGGAAAGAGTCAGTCAAAGAAAGAGTTAGTCAGGATATATGAGGTAGTCAAAGAAAGAGTTAGCAAAGAAACAGTTAGTCAGGGAAAGAGTTAGTCAAAGAAAGAGTTAGTGAGGGAAAGAGTTAGTCACAGAAATTGAGTTAGCAAAGGATTGTTCCCTCACTGTAAATGGGATTCAAGTGGTGCTGGTGGAGGAGTTGCCGATGGAGTTTTGAAGGAAGTCTCGCACGAAATGCGTTTTTGAGAGATAGCAGATGCAGGAAACCCTATGTTTTTCCATACAAAGTCCGTCCCCGAACCTCGATGATCTACCTCTGCGGTGCGACGGTTGCGAGACGGTCTCGTGTGTGGTCGGATCATGGGCGGATCATGGCCATCGGATCGGTTCCGCATTGTAAATGGGGTTTCAACTGTTTTTCGTGCATGTGCGGTCGACAGAATTCCATTGTGATTTGCAACTGTAGGATCGTTCCCGCAATGTAAATGGGATTGTGATTTGCAAGTGTTTGCAACTGGTGCTGTAGGAGTTGCCGATGGAGTTTTGAAGGAAGTCTCGCACGAAATGCGTTTTTGAGAGATAGCAGATGCACGAAACCCTATGTTTTTCCATACAAAGTCCGTCCCCGAACCTCGATGATCTACCTCTGCGGTGCGACGGTTGCGAGACGGTCTCGTGTGTGGTCGGATCATGGGCGGATCGGTCTCGGATCGGTTCCGCATTGTAAATGGGGTTTCACCTATGTTTCGTGCATTTGCGGTCGACAGAATTCCATTGTGATTTGCAGCTGTAGGATCGTTCCCGCAATGTAAATGGGATTGCAAGTGGTGCTGGTGGATGAGTTGCCGATGGAATTCCATTGTGATTTGCAACTGTAGGATCGTTCCCGCAATGCAAATGGCATTGCGAGTGGTGCTAGTGGAGGAGTTGCCGATGGAATTCCATTGTGCTTTGCAACTGTAGGATCGTTCCCGCAATGTCTAGAAGGTTTCAAATGGTTCGGTGGACGAGCTGAGGACGTAATACCATTGTGTTTTGCTAGGGATTGTTGCTAATCGCATTGTAATGGCTGCGTGAACTTGCTGCAGCTTGATTCTTTCAGATTTTGCCTGCTTTCATTTTTTATTTAAATTCTTTATAAAAAACGCTTCAAAACTCAACTTTTTCTGCTCTGGCGTCGAGATCCGGTTTTGGAGCTACAATTTCCGACGCCGTTGCGGGTAGTTCTATTGCGTTTTGCAACTGAGTCTCTGCAGATCGCATTGTAATGGCTGCGTCAAGGTTGCTTCGTGCTGTGGCTGCATTTGTAATACTATATTGTCTTTTGCAGCTGGATCTCGTAAATCGTATTGGAGTGGCTGCATGAAGGCTGCGACATGGATTTGTTAGCAGATTTTCTCCATTTTGGCGCTAGTGATTTTCCTTCTAAAAATCCTTTTAAAAAGTGCTTCAAAATCGTCTTTTTTTCGCTCTGGCGTCGAGATCCGGTTTTGGAGCTACAATTGCCGACGCCGTTGCGCGTAGTTCTATTGTGTTTTGCAACTCAGTCTCTGCAGATCCTATTGCAATGGCTGCGTCAAAGTTGCTTCGTGCTGTGGCTGCATTTGTAATACTATTGTCTTTTGCAGCCGGATCTCGGAAATCGTCTTGGAGTGGCTGCATGAAGGCTACGAAGTAAATTTGTTCGCAGATTTTCTCCATTTTGGCACTAGTGTTGTTTTTGTTGCACGTAGGTTCAGAGCAGTGTGAAGTGTGGGGCGTAAAGAGTGCAGTGTGAAGTGTGAAGTGTGAAGGAATCAGTGGGAAGTGAGAAGTGTGAAGTGTGAAGTGTGGAGTGTGAAGTTTAAGTTTGGAGTGCGAAGCGCGCAGTGTGAAGTGTGAAGTGTGAAGTGTGAGGTTTGGAGTTTGAAGGAAGCAGTGGGAAGTGAGAAGTGCGAAGTGTGAAGTGTGAAGTGTGGAGTGTGAAGTTTCAAGTTTGGAGTGCGAAAAGTGCAGTGTGAAGTGTGGAGTGTGGAGTGTGAAGACTTTGCTTCGTCTCTCGCTGAAAAAATCAAACGGTTGTCGAGGGAAGGACACGGTCGGGACAGGTTGTCTTTGAACTATAGGTCATTTATGTTTGGGAAACTTCCGCCGCCGGCTTGCCCGGGTCTATGTTATATTAATGCTAACATGACTGGGGTATATTGATGGGATCCATGTCACCATATATAGCACCATGGATCCCATGGGATAGTGGATGTATGGCTCATCACCGAGATGACAGACTGCAACCGATGGACTTTCACCAATGGATTGTTTTGAGAGAAAAATGCCGGAAACCACGGAAATCAATGCAGATATATGGTGATATATGATGATATATGATGATATATGCATATATATAATATAAATAGGATAAATATGTATATTTCATGGGTGTTAATTACATACTGCACAGGATATCTTGGGATAGCCTGACAGTGGTGATGTTTGATGGGTGGAAACCCTCTGGTTTTCTTCAACGGTAGCTATAGAAAATCCCCATTTTCAATAGGCAAACCATGGTAAACCATCTATAAATGGGCAAATTTCCTATATTTTCCATGGCTATGTTAAATAACCGGAGGGTGTATAATGATTGATAAGATATATGTACAGCGACTATAACCAGCAATGTATGAATCATTTGGTTTGTCTGACACTGGAAGCCCTAAATTTGCATCTTTACTGGGGAAAATGATGATCAACCATGAAACTTTGGGGTGCCTCATTTTCAGACGATTATGGTCAATGATGATTGATGTTTGATGGTTCTATTTCTCCTCATCACCCATCATCATCTAAATCTTCCAGACATACCCTCTGGAAATCTATCATAGCTGTGAAAATCCGCCATTTGTGATAAAGAATCCACAAACACGCCATCACGCCATCTATACCATCACTATGTTGGATCAGAGGCTCCCATTATAACCCCAATCGCTATAAATCTCCATGAAATCCCCATGAAATCATGACTGCCACTGGCCTGGTTTCATTTCTCCCATGGATTTGGGCACATGCCAATAGAGAACCTTGGTCAAGGGCCCCAAGAAAGGGACCCTTGGAATAGCGAAACTCCAGAGATAGCAGTTTCCAGCCTCATCTTCCCCGATTTTTTCTTCTTTTGCCATGTTGGATTTCAATCCTTCACCCGGGATACTTCCAACAAAAATCCCACGACCGTCTCCGTTTCCGACACTTCGAACCCGGGGGAACGGCTATCGTGTTCGGAACGCCTCTCCCCTTTTGGAGCCAAAGGACACTGATGAAAGCGTACATGCAACACAAGATGTAGCCCTTGAACCTGTGGCTTTGGGACACATCTGGATCATCTGGTTACCCTTAAAGGGGACAGAAATTGCTGGAAACTTCTACCCTAATCCAAACATGGCAACGGGAAAATGCCCCATTCATAAATGATTGTTCCATTGCAGGCTTGGGGATTTTCTAGCTATGTTATCATGTTGAATTACCGGAGATTTTTTTGGGCAGTTCTGGGGGCTTGGGATGGCTGCTTGATGGTCCTTGGAGAATCATCAGAATCATCATCCCAAATATGGTTTGGCATTAACAAAAACCAGTAGAACCACCATGTAGCTTATATCTACTGTCCTTTCAGGAAACATAGGGTGGGGCCGGTTGGGTATACTATTTGTTATCACCTACAGTACCTGTTGGTTCTAAACACATGGGGGGGAACAATGGGGAACCCTCTATTAATCAACCAACCAGCGGAAAAAACCATCTGTGGATATTTTCCATATGGCGATGACATTTAATCATTTATAATTTATAATGTTTATACAGGACATGTATGGCTACTATGTTGCTTCTCCCTATCTCCCCACATCCCAAAACGGATGCGCAAAACAAGTGGCCAATTGGATCGCCCGTCCAACAGCAGCGTGAGCACCACCAGGTTGCAAAAAGTCACCACCTCAAAGGGTAGAAAAATGGGGATCCCCGGGGTCCCCGGGCACCGATAACGCTGGAGAAATGTCACGCAACTCAAGACTCGACTCAAGTTATGATTATGTTCATATATTTATATATATATATACTTATATAGTACAGCACATATGTGTCAAATTCAGGCCTCCTGGAATGTGTTCTTGATGACAAAATGATTGGACATACAAAAATATGGATGGTTCAAGTAATATTCTTTGGCTCGAATCAGTTGGGGATGGGTCCATAGCTATCGCACCAAACACTTTACAACACTAGAACAATTCAGTTTGTGGCTCCATTGGTGTCTGTTTTTTGACACAGAACCATTCTTTCTCGGGGGCCACATACCACTGCAGTTGCTCACATTGTAAGATCTTCACCTGTTTTCAGGGCGTTCGACGGCAAGGCAAGACAAGACATTCAAAAAGGTAATCAAGATAGGCTGGGAAAAACATCTATAGATGATGGATTGCCATTGGATTTCATGTATATACAGTACAAAGTATAAATATTCACAAAACAATCCTTTTAGTAAATGGCCATGAAAAGTTCGGGTATATCCCAGCCATGTTAAAAAATTACCGGACCATGTCCCCACCCAGTCTTAGTATAGCACCAAGACCTGGGTGCATCCACATCCCAACAACAAAATCTTGATATATTTGCTCAACCTGGTAAGCTATCCAAAAAAACCTGTACATGCCCAGTATATTTTCTGTGGCTTTTAGCTTCGTCCCTTCGAAGAACCCGAAGGTTTTTTGTCGCCAAGACGCCGCCGTGTTCAGAGCCCCGAAGTCCAGATCCAGCGGTTTGTCCTGCGATGCTTCACCGGACCCTCCGAAGCAATAAGATCTAGTTTGGTAGCGATTTCTTCAAACATAGAACAAGCATGTAGCTAGTTTTCTCTATAACTGATTATCTAGAACTTACATAGAGTTATGAAAACACTATAAGCATGATTCAAAGATTTTGAATTTGGTTTATTCAATCAGTACTAGTTCACTCAAAAGATATTTTTTGTTATTTGATCAACATACTATATAAATGTACTATAACTGATCAACAAGTCACTTTATGTTATAAGTCAATTTATTATAAACTAATTATAAACTATTTGAATTACATTGTGACTTGGTTTCACCAATACAATCGCGCCATCATGGTTTCCAAGGTTAGCACCAGCACAGGAATATTCCGATCACGCGCAAGCGCGCCGCCTTTCGGCCCCGGCCGCTACATTCTGAGACCGATGATTTATCAATATTGGTTATATAATGTTATATAATGGACATAGTCCCCTGGTTGGGGTGTCTGACATGCTGATATGAACTTATGAACAATACATGTCCGTATGTCCGTATGTATGTACATGTATCAAACAAGGGATGGATGTCTATGCTTAACTGATGGGCTAAGGAACAACAAGTTGACAATTCTACCAAGATTTGTTGATTTTGCGATACCCCTAGTTCGTCGCCAGATTTGTTGATTTCACCATATACCATCATAGAATCATATACATAGTTCGTTGGTTATCTTCACATTTATATTTTATATGGCTGACATTGGTTGACTACGGTTGCTATCTCCATATTCTCGCAACTCATGTGCCCAGAAACCATTGATTGTCCCAAACAAATACGGGGTTTCCTGCACAATTTCCCTTAAACCAATTCATTCAATGATTGATTGTTTTTATAAAACTTGTGTAACCCTTATGTAACAATCATAATGTTGTAAAAACGACAGTGAACCTCAAGTCAATCTGGTAAGGTGTTACCAAACAAAACGCAAGGATGGCAAGTGTAGTAAGGCACATCAGAATCTACAAATGGCTTATTTTCCAGTTATTTTCCAGTACCGAAAATCTCTCCGGAAAATGACCGATTGGATCCGATTCGGGTCATGGCCATCTCGGGTCCAGCAGGATTTTCCCGTTTAACACGGCAGTCCATGAACCAGCCGACGATCACAGAAAATGGCACCACCTGGCTGCCACGGGAATCTCGAGGGATCAAACCAGTCACAGAGGGGTAACGATATGCATCGCGACCAGTTGTGGCCATTTACCAGTGAAAAGTATGAAGAAAACCCCATAGAAATAGAATGTAGAATCCCATAAAAATCACCACTTATAACTGGTAAATGGCCATAACTGCAACGATATGCATCGCTCCTGTTTTTTCATATCGAATCAGCGGGTTCTTCTGGCAACCTTCTTACCCCATAGGATCCATGCATGCTATATATGGTAACATTTACCATCAATATACCCCCAATGTTAGCATATATACCATACATGGATCCTATATGGATACTGGCTTCTCTGATTAGTCGATTGGAGACCGCTGCAGGCGAAGCTGGGAAGCCTGACCAATCTTCACCGACCATAAGCATCTACTGGGAATCAAACAGAGCCATGGAAAATCCATAGGAAAATCATGGAAAATCCACCATTCATATCCATTTATGATGATTTTATGATGATGTTGGTCCATTCAACAATTCAACCTCCACTTTTTCCGGGGATTTTCCGGCTAGCCATTCCTGGAGGCTCCACCATGGTCCACCGTTACAGGTATGCCGAGCCCCCCGTGCCAGAAGCGAGATCTGCGTGGCGGAGCCGACCTGGGTGAGTTTCTGGGGAAAAAAACCCAGCAGTTTTTGGGATGTTTTTTTGGATCAACTGCAATGGTTCCCAAATCAAAGGGGGAAAAAAAAGCTGGGCAAAGTCAGCAGCCGCAAAAAGAAAGATGTTCGATTGGGCTCAATGATCACGATTTTCGCAGGAATTTACCTACTATCTTTTTTAGGGGGTTCCAGGATAATCTATATATGAGTCCGCAGACCTAGAAACCTGGAAATCTGAAGTAAATATAAGTAGATATCATCCAACTACCATATACTACCATCCTGGAAGCCAAAAAAACTACCATTTCGGGTGATTGCCATACGGAATATATTGGAATATCATGTTGTTTACTTGCTGTAAGGGGTTCCCATTCGAGAACACGTGATTTCCCAGGTCATGGGTACCTGATGGTACCCGCCAAGGGGCCGCGATCCCAATGGCCAGGCCGGGCCGGTCCTGACTCGATGCGGTCACAGAATTGGTGGGAAAATCCTCAGGAACCCCCTTGGTTTCTGTAACCCATCAATTTTCGAGGTTGATTTACTAGAAAAATATAGGTTGATTTACTAAAAAAAATATAGAAAAGATTCGCGGATTTCTTGAAACAGAACAGTCATGAACACTCAGAAACTAAATGAGGAATAAATGAAACAAATAACCCGCTCCTAGGGCAAAGCAGACCAGCAAACATATGTTTGAAACTGGCAGCCGGATTTGTAGCATAGAAGTGCTGGGCAAAAACCGTCCCAACAAACGCAAACAACATCATATGTGTTGGCAAATGATTTCCACTTGGACATTGCCATACAAAAATGGCCGTAAATTGGAATGTCCATCTCAGAGACATCTTGGATTTCACATGATCTTACAAGGTTTCAAGCAGGGCCATCCCAAACCAAGACTGAACATCCACAGGTTGGCGGAGTGTTTTCCAGATATTGGCAAGGGATTTTCCTAGGAGTGGAGCCATGGAATTCCATCCAGTGAAAAATTCCATGGAATCCAGTTATGGCCATTTACAATTGAATGGGTATAATGGTGAATTGTAGTGACCACACTGTGATGTCACCAATAAAGTTAGGGATGCCATGGGGATATAACTGGATATAAAATGGCATGTTTATGGAATATTAGGCGATAGAATGCAGTTATGGCCATTTACCAGTTCTACGTACCAACAAAACCCCATTTATAACTTATAACTGGTAATAGATTCACATTCATAATTATAATTATACCCCATTATGGGATTATACATTCACACAGTTATGGCCATTCTATAAATGGGGTTATAAGTACCATAAAAATCACCACTTATAACTGGTAAATGGCCATAACTGTGTGAAAACACGGCCAAATCTTGGAGGTTTTTTATCGCGACATGCGACGACATCGGCAGTTCCAGTTCCTGCATGGCAAAGCGGATGGCACTGGCCTGAAGAAACCGATGGAGGCTGGTGGGATCCGGTGGAATTTTCTCGATAAAACCATGCTTAGCATGACCAGATTCACTATGGTTTATTAATGTTTATTATGGTTTTAAGCTTTTTATAACCAGATTCACATTATGTCATGTGTAAAAACTCTATTTCTAGGCTTTCTGAAGGACAGCTAAGTTGGTTGAAAAAAAATGGTTTATGGCGGATTAATATAGTTCATTTTTGGGGTAACAGTCACATAACTGGGGGGCACCACTTTTTGGCGGTATTTCCTGGTGGCCTGAGTAGGGATGGTATGGGATGCTGACAACCCATGCGGGGAATATTACCCTCTGGTTGTTTAACATAGCCATGGAAAATGGCCCATTTATAGATGGTTTACCTGGGTTTACCTATTAAAAATTGTGATTTTCCATGGCTATGTTAAATAACCAGATGGTATATGAACGAAGCATTTTCATGGGATGAGATACCCTCTGGTAAGCCAATGTGCAACGTGGCTGAAAAGTCTGAGGCTTCCAGCTTGAAGATCATGATGAAAAAACATCGTGAAGTATGCATTGATATCTCATGGAGATTTACCATCTGGTTATTTAACATAGCCATGGAAAATCACAATTTTTAATAGGTAAACATAGGTAAACCATCTATAAATGGGCCATTTTCCATGGCTATGTTAAATAACCAGAGGGTAACCACCTTGCCAGTTCTGTAACTTTCTGTAAGACACATGATCAGTCAAACCATGTAACCTGTCTGGAAAATAAAGAATATCTGAAACAGCCCAGCCAGCTACGATTGAACTATGCCGTGGAGCTGGATAATCAATCAATACTTACATAATCTCATATTATCAACCAATGGGGTTGGGTTTCATAATTGAAACCAGAACCTGGCTCGGCCCATCCATAATCATACATACATCGACACTGTCTACACAAATCTCCTAAAAATATGGGCAGCCCAAATTATGTTCCAACTACGTGCACCTTGGAGTATTCCAAAATGTTTTCCAACCTGGATATTGTTTGAAATGGCATAATTAGCTCTTGGGCTCAGCACACAAGTTTCATCCAAACAGGATATAGAACTGTTTTTCCACAATAGATCTTAGTTGTTCCATTTTTTCCATGCTCCCCCAATTTTTCCAAGGGAAGTGTTGCGCACGCTGTGGCTTCCGCACGTGTTCGCAGGCGTTGCCAGCAATCGGTAGCAGGATCACGCCAATAAAACCTTGCTTTCGGAGGATGACTGTAGGGGCTTTAACGGGGACTCCATGGGGGCTAACGGGTTCACTAGGGTTTATGATGGGATATAATGGGTTTTAAGGGAAAACCATTGATAAAATGGTGATTTCCCCTGCCAAGCAGGGGGAAGGCTACGTTCCTTGACAAAAAATCTGAAAAGTGGAGATTATCGGGGTCTATGTCAGTTGGAGGGCGTGTAATAATCCCATAATTCAGTGTCATTTTCTCTTAATATTTTTTGGCTTCTCATCACATTGGTAAAATATCATCCGACCAGAAAATCTGATGATATGTATTGAATAGTCATTGAATACATGCGGATCACAACAAGGGAGTTGTCATTAAGGGGATCTGGATATTTTCATGTATTTTCCACTTCCGTGTCGAGGGCGGGACCATGGGGAATACAGTGCCTGCCAATCACAGTTTTGAAATGTTTGACTTTGTTTAATATCATTTAAGTTCATTTAGTTAATTAATACATATTAATGCCTACAATTTTTATTAAATGGCTGTGATCTGTTCTGCTTGCTGTGCTCCCATTCGAAAGGGACAACCTATCAGAATGAGTTTTTCCAGTGCTATTCCAGTGACAAGCCCATCGGTTTGGTGTAACTCGCCACGTTTCCATACGTTTCCCGTCTGCAGGTCCCGGGTTTACCCACTCCCAGAAATATACTCAAATTGGTTTTGGGATGTTTTTGGAAGAGGACTTTTCCGGTGAAGAAATCATACAAATCGCCCCTGGGCTTCCAAAAGTTGATCTCAACTGGGGCCAGCACTTTCTGGGAGGCCATAATCTCGCACCACCTGACTGCTCCCGGCATCAGGATTGGCCCAGTTGGACTAGTCATCACTGATCACCTGGCTTCCCCACCATGTTGCAGGTGTACATATCTGGGAAAAATGTGCGCAAAAACCATACAAAACCCTTATCTTCCAGTTGCCTGTCAGATAGGTTTGTTCCCAAAATCATAATCAAATGAGCCTGCCTAGACCCTTATTTAATACACAGCAAACAAACAGAAAATTACAAAAATGATGGATGTTAAACCAGCATTTTTATGGGAACCAAAGGAGGGCCTAGGTGATTCCCAATACGAAGCTTTCGGCCGGGGCCGTGAACCGCCCCTGCGGCTCCGAGGCGGGCGCCTGCGCAATGGTATCGACTAAGTATTCCGAGTTGATCGCCTCGGGGCCGGTGGGTATCGAAGCTTTATATCCACATCATTCCTATCCCATAGGATCCATGTATGGTATATATGCTAACATTGGGGGTATATTGATGGTAAATGTTACCATATATAGCATACATGGATCCTATGGGTATGGTTAATATTAACATAGCTGTTGAAAATAACAATTTTTAATGGGTAAATATCAGCTATTTCGACTGGGCCATGTTCAATAGCTATGTAACAAATTACCAGAGGGTAATATTAATATGAATTGTGGGGGCCAACCTACCCCTCTGAAATAGTGGTTAATGTATAGTGGTTAATCATGGTGAATCATGGCTATGCTGAATAACTGGTTGGTGCTTGACCTGCCCCTCTGAAAAATGATGGAGTTCGTCAGTTGGGGTTACTATTCGCAATAAATGGAAAAATAAAAAATGTTCCAAACCACCAACCAGTATAAATTATATCCATACAATGGGCAGGTTCACTGCTTCACCAAAACTAGTAAACTAATGTAAACTAGGGATGTCAATCCACAATGGGTCAACTAGCCATCATGCTCATGATTGACTCACTTTTCAGTCAGGAACTTCACCCTTAGATGGTGTTTTAAGCTAGTACATATTTGAATCATGCGCGATGATGGTTGAAATATCTACAAACCATCAAATCCAAATCTGCGCAGTCCGGAACAAGCAAACCTATAGGTAAAAATATACTAAAATATATCAAGTCACTAACCTGAATTAGGTCTCTATTAGGATCCCCCATGATCCCCCTATAGAAACCATCATTTCGAGGTCACATTGAGGTTTTTCCCCGGCAGTTCTCCGATTTCGCCACCAAGAAGCCACAAATAAGGTACAAAGAGCCATAAGTAGGGTCGCCTGGGCGGGCATATGGCTTACCCGGCTTACCCAATCCCCTTTGGGCCTGAGGGATGACGAACATGTGCGAACAAAAATCCGAAAAATGGGCGTAACCCTATATAAATCCTTTGGTTGATCAACATTTACATTTTGGGTAGACCCAAAAATGTTACCATCTGGTAATTTAACATAGCTATGGAAAATCACCATTTTTAATGGGAAAATCCACTATAAATGGCCATTTTCAATAGCTATGTTAAATTACCAGAGGGTATCCATTTTCAGACAAAGCCAAATCTCTTAGAAAAACCAAACCACGCCCCGCAGTTGTGACGCAGCCGGTGCGGAAAAAATGCTGCACCTTTCCCTTGAGATTTTCGCCATTGACATGCTGGTGGAACTCCACACATCCACCGCTGTTGTCGAACAGATCGGGGGCTCTCGAGTCCAAGCGAAGTCGACGGTTTGTATGAAATCTTAGGGGATCATCTTCCCAAGCGATGGAAAGTACTTTTTTTTTTTAGCTGGCCCCCCCAGAAGATTCCTCGACGTCTCGAATCTATTCTAGTTTTCTAATTCTTGGCTGTGCTGGCAGAACTTAAAGGGGGACAAAATAACATGTTCCATCAACATGGGCGAAAGGAAAGCATCTAACTGCTCAGCAAAAAGCGACAATTCGTTGGATTGGCCTAGTGGAAAAATTACCGGAAAGATCCGGGAAGCATTGTTCTACCCAATGACATGCAAAGGTCTCCCACAACATTCCCTTGAACCAATGAACCAATTCTAACTCTGGGGACCATCCTGGATAAATCGCGACAATTCACTAACCTGAAAAGTTCGGCCTTTTACCTGGATGAGTTCCCTATAGAATTTTCATCACTTCTGGGGTCGGTTCACCCTTCGGTTTATCCACTTCCGCAACACGATGCCGCATCAGCACCAAGCAGCACAACCAGCCGTAAGCCCTGGCCCAGCGTCGTCCTTTTTGGGGCTGCGCTGCGCCAGCGATTGTCTTAGATCAATCACCATATATCACCATTTCCGGTGGGTAGCTTGCTTCCCTAAGCATAGAAGTCTGTCCGTCGATGTGGGTATAAATGATCTCGCACCATGAGTTGGCAGGGCCAAGGAATCTAGGGGTGGGGGACTTATAAGAACATTGCAAGAACTAATCACCAACCCACACCCAAGCAAACAGCTCTGAACGCTAGATTTTCCAAGGTAAATACCCACCTCATCAAAACAAACCTTTGCAGCGAAAAGGTTGACACGCAAAATATCCCAGAACATACAACAATTACAATATGCAAATATGCAAGGACAAAACATTGAACAACAAGACAAACTCATTCATTGGCTCTAGTGACCTTGAATAGTCAAACATGTCAACAGGACAACCCCATTCTGGTCGCAGGAAGATTGTCTGCACATTGATGTTTGGATTGGCGATTTTGTGTGGCCAGTTTTGCACCCAAGAGTATATTCCCAGCTGATCGTATTACATATCCCATGGGTACAGCCTGCTTGACCTGCCATTTGTCCTGAAAACCGCACCATATTTTGTTTTTTGGGATGGACGCTTGGAACACATTTTGCTCACATTTTACTCACAACAAGTAGATCGAGTTTCATAGAGTTTCTGGGTCAATCAGCTGACATTTTCCCAACTGCTGGCCTATATACCCACCTGTGATCGATGACTATGAAGGGTAAGCTCAAGTATCCCCCCTGGAAAAAAAACAATCATCAAACATTCTGAAAGGAAAGTGGACTAATTAGATCATATGATCATATCTCAATCAATCCCATGGAGTAAAAACATACATCTATTTATCCGTTCCAATAGATTTATCGAAGGATTTGACGGTCTATACATACATCGGGGATCATCGGGGTATCATGTCATAGCCAATCTCCTCCCCTCAAAAAAAGAAACTTTTTGGCTGCTTAGTAACTTTAACTATTATCACTACTTCATGGAAACAGAGTTTACAGCTTTCCTCTGCACAACCAGTTGGTTCAACCCAGTAAACATCTGTTCGTAACCCATGTCTTCCGGTTTCCCCAGAAGTTACCATCTGGTTATTTAACATAGCCATAGAAAATCACCATGTTTAATAGGTAAATCATCTATAAATGGGCCATTTTCAATAGCTATTTTGACATAACCAGAGGGTACCTCTTGCCGTCCTCATCCTCCTCCGGATCTTCCGGTTCATCTTCCAGACCGGGGCTCAAGGCATCTTCCTGGCATGACACCACCGGGAGACGAGACGAGGCTCTGGTGTCCGTGAAAACAGGGCTAGAAGAGCATTGGAAAACCATTGGAAAACCATTGGAAAACCATTGGAAAACCATTGGAAAACCATTGGAAAACCATTGGAAAACCCTGATCCAAACGGATAAAACATGCTCAAGTTGACTGTGGCAGACTTAGGAAAACCATTGGAAAACCCTGATCCGAATCGATCGCAACTCAACCCTGCGGTGTTTCTGAACCAAGCAGAAGGGCATCTACATCCCGGGGATGGGAACCTCATGGCAGCACTCACTCTTTCAAAATGATGGTCGCAGGAGTTTAATATTGAGATGCACAGGCGTATCCGCGTATCCTTGAAGGAACAAAGCACCAAACAAAGCACCAAACCGCGTTTTTGTTCTTTTTTGGGGCATGTTAAACAATTTATATAAACACGGATGAATTAGCAGTGGTCGCAAGTTCCAGTGTGTCGTTCTCAAGGTTCTTGCTGGTGAAATAAGAACTCCGGGAAGGGACCCCAGACAGTGTTGGGCTTGGGGGAAGTGAAGCAGCTTGAATCTCTAGGTAAAGTCTTTGAAAGGAACCCAGCAAGCTCATGGCACAGGTTCCGTCTTAGCTCGGGGGATGGTAGCCAGAAATCATCAGCAGCAACAGCATCACCACCATCATCACTTTTTTCACCACAATCATGATAAGTAGCCTGGAACCCATTGTAGAACCATCACAAAATCACTGGGTCGGTGATGGTCAACGAAACAAAAACTGTCCCCATGGAAATCCTTGTTAAACCTGATTAAATCCAACCTAACTTCACCATTTATGTATCACCTGTTTCCCTTGTAAGCCATCATATCCTACGATACACCAGTTACCCCCACAAGAACGCATCATTGATTTCCTCATTCAATCTCCATTGACCCCTATGGCCCTATGAAACCCCAATCAAATCCCCATGGGTCATATTGAACCCATGAAATGCCGCATCAAATCGTTGGTTATCCCCATGAAATCCCCACTGATCAACTATTTCCACTGGTTGGTTAGCCCTCGTGAACCCCATTGATCCCCAGTATTGTTGGTTAGATTTCCCTACAAAGTGGGGCCGCACAGCTAGCTAACTTGATAACTGTGCTAGCTGGCTTTTGTAGTGGTTATATCTAGTTTTGCCCGCACTTGGGCGAAAACTGGGGGAACCCCAGCATGGATAGGTCTGTTCAGTTTCTAGATATGTGGTATTCACCATGGTATTCACCAGGATTCTTGGTCAAATCAGCCATTTTTCGATATCGCCTCATCGCCCAGAGTTCGCTCGTGTGTCAACAGCTGGAAGATGAGATACGCCACATAGGAGGACCTTGGCTGCCAGCAGCCTCCAGTAAAATCATGGACAATCCTGCAGATTTTCCGTTGAACCCATGAAAATGTGAACAAAAAACTATAGAAACACTATGAACATCCATGAGTTTCCTTAGGAATTGATCAATGGTGGTTTCATGTGGCTGGTTGGAGTCGTGTGGTATATGGGGTACGGTCATCCCACCATCATGAATTGGATTCCTTATGATTGGGAGGATGACCGTCCCCTTGATGGGAAAATCAACAATCTTTTGACTGTAGCACATATGTTCTGAGGATCTTTTTTCAAACAACGCTGGTTGGGTGTATGTTTTCTAAAAGGCTCTTTGACACAAGGCTCAGATGATTTGGGTTGAATATGGGTTGAATATGTTCAAGAGATCTACCCCACAAACCATTGAAGTTGAAGTTGTTTATTGTAGTTGGGCAAAGGCTAACGGTTAACCAAGAGAACATAGGATTTGGACACAAAAGGATAGACATATACACTCTAGTCTTCTAGTGAACTGTCATATCGCGACGTGCGTTTCACCCCCTTTCAATATCCCTTATTCTGTTCCACCCATGTCGTCCAGAAATCCTCCGTGTATGTTGACCAATATCTCTCTTACTATTTTGTCAGTCTATGCTAATTCTATCTCCCAAAATGGATAGTCCCGCTACCAAATCAGGGCTCTACGGGGGTATTTCATAAGAGGGGTAAGGCAGTAATGTGGTAAACATGGTAAACCCAATAATAACTCATTCCCAAGATCTCCATTTTTATGGCTTGTGCAGTATAAGCCATCCCCAAATGGTAGGTTTATTATAGCGTTTATCACCTTCGTAAATATGAACACCTGAGGCCTCTGGCAGCACGATCACGGCACCGATCCGTGAAACCTGACATCGCTGGCAGGGGGAGGCATGGAACCATGTCCATGATGGTCCATGACTATCATCAACAACATGTTCAAGTATTTTCATGAAGTCCATGGTGCCCCGAAACACTGAAGGCTTGCTGATATGTAAGTCACCATGGCGCCACAGGAAGTCATCCATGGCGCCACTTTTGTTTTGCGCGACGACCGGCGCGCCTTCAGTACCGATTTGCTGTCATCTGAAGGGTAGGAATTGAAAATCGTCGGCAAAGCCTCGGAGCGGCCGGTGGCAACATGTGGCAACATGTGGCAACGGTGAAAACATCGGCCAAAATGAAAAGGAAAGCAGCAACGATACCACTGTTTATGTGGGCATGTTTCGTTCTGCTAGGTCTCATACAGAAGATCATCTTCTTACAATTCAAATCTAGTTAGATGATTTAGGTTTCCATCATCTTGTGAGTTATTAATGTATAGATTTAGGTTTCTAGTCAGAAGATAATCTACTGTAATAGATGTCCATCATCATCTTGTGATCTATTCTTAGGTTTTCCATCGTTGCCATAGCTGGCAGCATCTCCAACCTGCGCCAAGTGGCAGTTCCCCAGCAAAGGACAGCAAAAAATTGAACAGAGGACATAACATTCACAACATAAGATGCATTTAATATATTTAGTAATATATAAATATAACATGCTATATTATATAATATAATCTATGTCTAGATTCATATGTATACATGGGTGTAAAAAATATACCATCTATCTGGATCTATCTATCTTTGGCACCATCAGGCCGGCCGTAGTGCCTACTCCCCGTCCTTCCCAACATTCCCGTCCCCGCATGCGCTGAGGCACAAAGGACATGCAGCTAAACATCAGCATGGCCATGCTGATCAATGCGGATTTCACCGCAAACCTCGGGCGAGACGGCGGTGATGGCGGTGATGGCGGAGGCGGTGGTTGGTTGGAAATCGAGCCGGACGTTCAGTGGAAACGATTTGTGAAGTCTTGTAACACTATATGGTTTTTGATGGTTTGTGTATTACTTTAAGCATCTTTTGCAACCCACAGGGGTTTGAAGCTATAGGATTGTGATAATGCCAACCAGTTGGGGTAGCAAAAGAGAGAGAGAATCTATTCCCTGATGAAACCTGCAGCAAAACAACACATCAAATTCAGGATTCACCCAGTTTCATCCAGTTTTTTGAATAAAGTCCCTAGCTTTGATGGTCAAAACCATAGGTTTGTCAACTATATCTATATCCCATATGACTCCTAACCTTCCACTTACCAGACCGAGGCCTAGTTCTACTTACCTATGGGAAAGGTTAGCAGGAAGACTAGGGAACCTTCATGCCCGACAGGTAACCCAGTTTTGATGGTCAAAACTACAGGATTTTATAGGATTTTCAACTATATCCTGGTTGGTGGTTTCAACCCCCCTGAAAAATATGAGTTCGTCAGTTGGGATTATTATTCCCAATATATGGAAAAAATAAAAGCCATGTTCCAAACCACCAATCAGACATCCCATGAGAAAAACCGTTACCCTCTGGTAAACGCTTACCTATGGAAAGATCCACCATTTTTCATGGGAAAACTCACTATAAATTGCCATTTTCAATAGTTTTTTGTATGTTTACCAGAGGGTAAATGCCCGATTCCCCAGTTGAGATCCCCAACTTCTGTTCCTTCTCTAATCTCGTGGGCCCATTTTTCTCGAACTCCTGGCGTCCGCGCTGCTTTTTTTGGCACCGACTCGTCTCGGTGCCAACACTTGGGAAACGGATGACAACCAAAAGAAACAAATCTTCCATGTTTTCCAAATAAACTTGAAAAACAGATATTGTTATAATATGAGTATTTCAGATTATTTCAGGTATCACCACCACAAACCTGTTGCACAATCATCTCCAAGAGCCAAGGTTGAGTGGCCCAGAGAGCGAAAAAATCGATGTCCAGGAAAATCATCACAACGCAGCGGCGAAAACATTTATATATCTTAGCAATCTTCTCATAGATATCCCCCTTTGTATTAAGTGAAAGGGTTGGTGTTGACAATTTTATAGTGATAAATCAGGAGGACATGACCCCCCTTTCCGAAATTAAGGTGATAGATGATATTTTTTGTGGTTCTGATTGATACCCGTCGAACACCAGCAACATACCATCAACAATACAAACATCCCGGTGCTGGGCATTTGTTGGCGGCATGGGTACAACACACATTTCACATTTCGGATAGTTGTAAACCACACCCAAACCACATTAGCATCCTTAAAGCATAAAACATGTTCGCTGCAACCCTGACGTTGCGCCGCGTCTGACTTCAGGTGGCTATGAAGATAAGTTGATTACCCCAACCAACATATTGTTCATAGGGGTGGCGAATTGTGATCCCTTATGAAGATAAAGTTGATGTTATTACCCCAATCAACATATTGTTCATAGGGGGTGGCAAATTTGGATCCCTCATAAAGATAAAGTTGATGTTATTACCCAAATCAACATATTGTTCATAGAGGGTGGCAATGTTTGACCCCTCATGAAGATAAAGTTGATGTTATTACCCCAACCAACATATTGTTCACAGGGGGTGGTAAATTATGACCCCTCATGAAGATAAAGTTGATGTTATTACCCCAGTCAACAAATTGTTCAGAGGGAGTGGCAAATTTTAATGTGATGATGATCATGATGTGATGATGTGACGAGGATGATGATGATGATGATGATTATGATGATGATCTTGATCTTGATGATGATCATGATGATGATCATGACGATTGTAAGTGTGGAGCAACGTCCGGGTTGGGGCGAACATGTTAAATGTGGCTTTAGACAATGAATGAATGAATGAACTGCCTATTGCAAATGGCTGCATGTAGATTTCATCTTAACTTTCTGGGTGGCTAACCTCCTGTCAACTGCCTGCTTGGGTGCGAGGTTAACTTCATCCGGGCAAGTATTGTAATTCCCCATTTCGAGATGTTTACCCCCCTTTACCATCTATGGTCTATGGTGAGGCAGGCCTTATCTCCGGTCGGGTGGGCCCACATGGCCCCCTTGGTGCCGGCATCAGCGTCCTCACTGATGATGTGAAAGGAGTGATATCTGCCTCTCCTGTGCCGGAGATGTGACCCTGTCATCAATGCTGGCTTCAGATATCTTACACACCATGGTGGAACATTCCAGATATTCCAGTGAGCGGTGAGATAGGACTTACAACCGTAGCCATCCCCTGGGAAAAAAAAACATGTTGTTTTCCAACCAAGATTCTGGATGAAAACCCTTCGAAGGAAGGCATTTTTACTGTTAGTATCCACGATGACCATCCTCTGCTACTTAATCCCTTCTTCCTATTACTAAAACTCCCCCAAATAAAAACAAATAGGATTTGGTGTGGCACTTCTGTGTTTTTTGGCTGGGCGCAATTGAATTGTTAATTGTGTCAAATGAGAATCAATAGGAGAACAGGATAGCGAAACAATGGGTTCAACCGTTCAACCCCCTATTAATAAAAAATCGATTGCCACCTGGAGGTTTTTTATTAGGGTCCCATCTCACAAGTTTCATTTTTTATTTTTATTATTAAGGTGTTCATTGGAATATTAGGGGAATGCTTCGAAATCCAGTTTTTGGCATTTTTGGGCAATATTATATATATATATATTTTTATTTAAAAAAAAATTAATTAAAATTAAAATCGCTTTTTATCTCGATTATTAAAGTTTCATTGAAATATTAGGGGAAAGCTTCTAAATCCGATTTTTGGCAATATCTTATATAGATTTTAATAAGGGAGTTAATCAAAAATAGAAATCGTTGTTTATCTTTATTATTAAAGTTTCATTGAAATATCAGGGGAAAGCTTCTAAATCCGATTTTTGGCAATATCTTATATAGATTTTAATAAGGGATTTAATCAAATTTGAAATCGAGTGTTCTATTTTAATATATTTTTATTAGTGTTTTTCATTGGAATATTAGGGGTACCCTAATACAAAAAACGCAATAATAATAAAAACAAATCACAGTGTTTACCATTTGGGGGGGTTGTTTTAGTAATAGGGAGAGAGGATTAGTCCGGCCCATAACTCCAAGGCAGAAACTTGGACTTTGCGTGGTAAAGTCATCTCATTCAACTTAGTAATCCTAAAATAAACCAGTGTGGGCCCCAATGAACAAATCCAATACCATCCAATACCAAACCAATATGTGGGTGAAGGGCTTATATAATCCAATTCCAAATCAAAGGAGTTTAGAATCCAAACTTCAATCCAGTCACTATGATTTGTGTCTCCCAGTCTTTCCCGGTGTGGGTTCATCTTTTTCTTAATCCGCACATGTTTCTGCACGTGAGACCGCTCCCCCGGTGGGGGCTTTTCGCATGCCAGGTCCTTGAACGGGAGGCGCTGCCAGGCCCCCGCTCGCTTTGTGCCAGCTCCAACATGTTTCAACGACTCCTTCGCATTGGGATCAGGATCTTTGCTGCCTGCGCCTTGACCATGGTTTCCTCCAGGTCTGGAGCAGCGATCTTGTCCACGTACGAGTCGTACGAGCCACCTGCCCGCTAAAACCAAGACCTAGGATCTAGATGTAAGATGTAATTGCATCAAGATATGGAGATGGATGTTCATTCTAGGTATAGTCACCTCAAACTATATATATTATATATATATATATATATTATATATATATATTATATATATATTGTCAAGTCAGGATTAGTCAACTCCCCGTTATTAATCAACCTCGGCTGCCCCCAAAAAATGTAATTTAACAACAGGTGGTCCCCCTGGATTGATAAACTTTTTGGCATGGACATAGTGAATCATCCCCCAGTGCTGCAATCTCATTTTTTTATCCAAAAGTTTTTATGTCCAATTCTTTTTCTTTCTCATCATGTCTCATCAAACTCAGAACTCATCATTGTTATACTTAAGGTTTAAGTTGAAATATGGTTTTGTTTTATTTTCCAACTCTCTTTATTGTCAAATGGCTTCCTTATGTTATACTTAAGTTGAAACCTCATGAACACCAGAACCCATCACTGCTGGTCATTGAAAAATTGAAAAAACAACTATTCCCCAAATGATCGATTTCTAATTAAATTCTTTATAAAAATCATCAGTTTGGATAGCTCCCAAACTGATACCCCCATGAGCCCATGTCCACCATTAATAATAACCAGGGTTTGCCCCTTATTAATCAACCCCCATGTCCCTAATGTTTTTTTCTTTGGATTTGCCCATTCATTCCCAATGTCCCCCATAGCTTTCAGCCAATGTTTTCAGTCAAAATGGAATTCTACGAAAATCTAATGGGATTCTACGAAAATCTAATTGACTTCTATAGGTTCCAAGCCATATCCAAATTTTTATGGTTCAAAGGGCGTTTATTCAGGGGGAAACTAGGAAAGACCTTACAAGGTCCATCTGACCTTGAGGGGGGGGTTATGAATCCGCTGTTGACATTACATATTTCTCAAGATCTGAGGCTCCGGTATTCTCTTGGCTTTCAAGATCTCGGATTGGTAACGATGGGCTTAGGGCCCTCAGTCATCAATGCTCAATGCGGATGGTTTCATCAGTCATCTATAAAAAAAAGCCGTTGCTTATATTCAAAGTGCTTGATGTTCCAAGAGAAACCTTCCAAGACTCTCTTGCTGGTGAACATCAACTCTTAGTGGGATTCCTCCAGAAGTCAATGGATGGCTTTCACGCTTCACTTTAAGAACCATGTCTGTGGTAGTTCCTGCATGTTTCTTTCCTTCAACCAAATCTGGAAAAGGTCCAGTAGCCAACTCAAAAGGAACTTTCATCGAATAAAATGACAACAAGTTAGGATTTCACCGCAAGAATCAATTTCTTTTATGACACAAGGTTCGGATTTCACCATATTTCACCAACAAAAATTGGACACCTACCCTTCAGCCCCACCAGTGGTCCTCTTCCGGCTCCGTGTTAAGCCACCTAGTAGGAAGGCAGTGCCCAGCCTCGGTTCAAACTTCATCCCGAAGTTGGTGGTGAATTATCACTATTGACAAATTGACATTTATCAATGGATTGGTTTAAGGGAAAATCTACAGGAAACCATAGATTTTCACTTAAACCAATCAAATCCATTGACATTTATGTTTTGCTTTTATTTTGGGGCACCTTTTCTGGGGAGAACGTACCAATGATTTCCACGGAATACAAACACTGCTTCACACTTGGAGACACGCATATGATATTATAGGATATTATAGGTATATCATTCGAATTGATATATGTTGAGACACGACATTATATCATTAATATGACAATGGAATCATACCAACCAATTAGGACATAGAATGCGAATAATGGGCTATAATGGGCATGATACGGGGATAATATGTACGTATAAGTCTGGTTAAGATACTTAAGGCCATTTGGTGATGACTTCTCTTATAAACCATGTTTCCACTGAGGTCGCAGTGAGGTCTGTCATTTACCCAGAGATAATGATATGATAATATGTATATATATATATGGTTGGTGGTTTCAACCCCTCTGAAAAATATGAAAGTCAATTGGGATGATCACATTCCCAATATATGGAAAAATAGAAAATGTTCCAAACCACCAACAAGATATTAATTGGGATAAAATAGCACTGTCGCACTTCCAAAGGTTGGGCGTCAACACTCACAGCTAAAGTGGCCAGTTTGTTTTTTTTCCTCCCACGTTGGACCAAACAAACATGTTCCATGCAAGCCTCGGCTATCCTGAATCATTTTGGGGTGCCAAAATCCATTGCCACTGATCAAGGCATGGCAAAGATTGGCAAGATATTTCATATATATGTTTTTTTTTGACATTTATTGACTGTAAAATCAAAACCCTGGCTCCCTGGAAATATTGAACCTGTAAAGGATCAATCAAACTATATAATTTGTGAATGGCCATTCTACATTATCTTGGATTGTTTTGCATTCCTTCACATTCATGTTGCAAATGATTGCTGCACAAATCGGAATCCACACCAACATCACTCACATGGCTATGAAATAAAACTCTGGCACCCTAGGCCCTAGGTACCCATGATTGTTTATTTCCCCCAAAACTATGGTAATCTTAATGAGTTGTGACCCATCCCCACAAAAAATCTGCGCCGAGTGACACCAGCAGAGTGTTGGAGAGCACAGAGCCCAACAAACTCGCCTGGCAGGTGCGGTGTCTGATGGGGCCCCGAAGATAGCGTTCAGTTGCCCTATATATAAGTGGTTTAACTATGGTTTATGGTAGATATAAGGGTATATAAAGCATAAAGCATAGTTAAACCACTTATAAGGCAACTGAACGCTATCTTGTGGGTTATAAGTTCATGTGGGTTATAAGGGTAATTTTAACCAACTAACATCACTGGGGGGCCCCATCCTGCAATGTTCATGGCCAGGTTACCACAGCTTTGGCCAGGTTGGCATTCACAGGGGGTCACTGATTCTCAGTCACGGGCTTAGATCTGTCTAGCAGTGTTGGCAAGACAGTCATACCCTATAAAGTATCCCAGTTATGCCAGTTATGTTGGGGTTCCATAATCCATCCATCTATAAATAAATATATATATATATAGTTTCAGTTTCAGTTTTCACACCTGTTGGATGTCAATGGTAATCCTGAAACAGTCATTTGGTTGTTTCAGCCAATCCCAATCCCAACGCAGTGAATTGGGAACATCAGCTCTTACATAGGCGTGGAACAAAAATACTTCGAAACCACCAACTGGTATAGTAATTTACTAATTCCAATGATCATGGTATCTTTCAGAATCAGCCTTTGAGCGGGTCAAACTCAAACATGAACATCCGGATCGTGCATCTTGGCTGAGGAGGGCTGGCCCTCTATTAATTGAACACTTGGCTATGGAAAATAACAATTTTTAATGTGAAAATCAACCATAAATTGCCATTTTCAATAGCTATGTTAGTTCACCATATTATACCATAGCTATAGTGGCCAGTAACACCAAGGCGACAGGACTGGATTTCCTTTCCCCTCGGCCGTGAAAATCCGGCAGTGAAACGCCTTTGTCATGTTTGCTGGCGTGATGTTTTGTTAAGTGTATGTATATCCGGTACATGTAGATATAAATGCACACACACATACACACACATACACACACACATATATATATATACATATATATATACACATATTATATATGCACTTATATATATATATATAAGTAAATACATGCATCTGGGGGTTTTATTCACAGGATAAGGTCGTTTCTATCTGAGTATGCTTCAGCAACATTTTCGGCGGTCACATACCCGGTATTTTTGTTACATAGCTATGAACAATGGCCATTACTTCATTAATTGACCTCTTTAAAATGATTATTTTCCAGTTTGCAAAATGTTGGTTTCCCAGAGAGTAACCGACATAATGGATATTGAATCATCACACACTTGGGATTCAAACAGTTGTATGAGTTAGATAATCTACTTAGATATGACATATTCCCATTTTGGATTCAAAGTGGGATGGGAGGCCTTGACAATCTGCAGCAGATTTGACCGAATGGACCTGGGCGTTGAATCAAGCGTTGAATCTTTGGCGAATCTTGGATTCATGATCTCGCGCCAACACGTGGCAAAAGCTGGATTTACCCAACAAAAACCTCATTGATTCATTGATGGCCAAAAAGAAACATTCAACTACCCAACATTACCCAACCAAGGTTTACGCAGTTTAAAATCGACTGCTTTTGCCAAAAAATGTGGCCGATATTTTTTTGCTTCTTGGATTCTATGATGCAGTTTAGACTGATGATGTCTTACATGGATGTCTTGAAACGTGCATTGTTGTCTGTTGCTTCAGTTCTGATATGTCAATGATGCTCGATGCTTCTTCCCTGCTCGTGAGATATGTTGATGCTTTTAAGTGACATTCTGAGATGATCTCCCACAAAAACAACTTCGATTGCCATGTTTCATAGAAACCTGCTATTTGGGTTCATGTGGTTCATCTCAAAAGTTTCTTTTAACAAAACCATGTCATGCCCCTAACACCCATTTTGAAATGACATTTTTTCTTTAAAGGATTTTCCTACCAAATGATTTTCCGCCAATTTACCCTCTGGTAAACATACAAAAAGCTATTGAAAATGGCCATTTATAGTGAGTTTTCATGAGTTTTCCCATTAAAAATGGTGATTTTCCATAGCTATGTTAGTTTACCAGAGGGTATCCCTGCCCTATTTGGCCGAAGGGCTGAATGGCTACAATCATTTCCACCGCATTGCCAAAGGTCGCATTCAGCAGACCCGTCACCTGAGCGCTGGTTGCGTTAGCTGCGGCAACGGAAGCGCGGCAAGCCAAAAAAAAAAGGCGGGTTGAAACGGTGCCATGAGAAAAATGGTAGGTTTATCCTCTGGAAATCTAACATAACTATGGAAAATCACCATGTTTAATGGGTAAATCAACTATTTCTATGGCCATGTTCAATAGTTATGTTAAATTACCAGAGGGTAGAGATGACATTTCTTTTAGGCAACCCCTCAACAAAACAATCAATACTGTCAGTAATGCAATAATAACCTACCCATAATATGTTGATGGATCTTTACCACCCATAAAGATGTGACATGTTGGGATGGTTGACGATTGCTTTACTACCATTAGACAAGTAACATCCTATACCTAATAATTACGGTTCTATCATCTTTTTGAAGGGTTACTATATGAATCTATATTATATAAGCAGTGCTAGGTCCGTCATGAATAGTCCAATCCACCTATTATTACCGTAAATCGCTTAAATTGTCCAAAATGAACGAATCAAATATGTAAGCAAGGTTTCTAGCTGGTTACTTTAAACTGCATAAAAGCATGGCCATGCTCATTGCCTGAAAGGAAACTTGTTGTGATTCTCTAATGATTCATCAATATTTATGGTGAAACTGTTTGAGGTTGCTATATGTAACCGTCCCCTGGTTTGGAAATCAGACCTCTTGCGCAACTGCCTTGGAGTTGGCTTCTGAGAGATTGTAATTGTGGTTGTAGTTTATTGTTTTACTGTTTGAACATTTCATTCCATGTTATGGCCAAACATGGCATGTTCTGACCCACTTTTGGTGCTGAGTAGATCTACCTTTAGCCAACTTTCGCCGGATTATCCTTCACTTTCACCAAATGGTGCCACTAGCAACACTACAACCGCGAAAAGCGAAGAAGAACATAGAACCAGGTATGCCCTCCAGTAATTTGACATACCTATCGAACATCACACTTAAAACAACCGGTAATTCATCGAACTAAATGGGCCATGGCTTCGATAGCAAAACTATCAGTTCCATGAAACTTTTGGCAGCGCTGTCTTAATTCTGATTACCATTAATTGCCCATAATAATAAACATAATATAGTAGTAATAATAGTAATAATAAACAATAATAATGATAATAATGATTAATAATAATAATAATGACTAATAATAATAATGACTCATAATAATACAAATGATAATATATATATATATATACACATTATAGAATATAAACATGTATATTAGATATAACACATACAATATAATATGTTATACATTGTTATATTCAATATGAACATGGGAAGCTATGGGTCATTTCACCCTGGTGGTTTATGATCCCCCTGAGCTTCCGCACCGTGTCGTTGTGGATGCTCCCTGCAAGTTCCTACAGAGGCAGATTCCGTGTCTTGCCGCTTGTTTCTTCAAGAACATTTCTGGGTAAATATGGTAAATTACAATATTTCACAAACCTGAATTAACTTACTGGTGCTTAGTAGGGAATGGATGGGAATTGGGGAATGGGATGATTAGTACTAGTGATTATGGATCATTCCCTCATTCTCTACCAAGCACCAGTAAGATAAGGCCATTTTGGGATGATTCCCCTTAACCATGATTCCAGGTTTCGGTCACAGTGAGGTCGTTATAATTTACCCGGACATGTGTTTTGAAACATTTTAAAACGATGCCGTTTGCCTTAACGGATCTTCACGGAAAACTTCTTCCTTCTATGCTGTGACATCTAAAGAAATGCAGCTGATTATCTCATGTTTCTGCCCTTGGGAAACACATAGACCTAGACACGGGATGACACAGGTGCCATCACGTTGGAGATGCCCCTGGAGTGTTGCGCGCCTTGTGGCGCAGATGGCAACACGTGGAACCAATCATCCCAAATTTTTGCATCATCAATTACTGGTTGGATCTGGTTGGTGGTATACCTACCCCTCTGAAAAATATGAGAGTCAAATGAGGGTCACCAACATCGTTTCGAACAGAACAACAGGTGCCCTCTTCAACGGTCCTCCGTCGAATCCCCCAGGATTTTGGCCAGGGGCACCTTGCAATGGGGTTCCGGCTGTTGGCCATCTACAACTGGAGATGTTTTTTTGTCAAAGATGCGGAGTTCACATCGTCGAAAATTGGGACTTTTAACAAAATATGGTGGTAGGCTGCTGGAGTTGGATGGCCTCTACTTGGTGGTTCACCGAAAAAAATAAAAGGGGGCCATAAGCCCAATAGAACTGGACTAACCCCACTTACCCTACTTTTAGCTGGGGTTGTAACAGTATCTACCAACTGGGCTGAACCACCTTTGCTTTTTGTCGCCGTTTCAATCAGATCCAAATGATCCAATGTTTTGGATAGCTGATCTTTTGAGACACTTCCATCTCATTGCAATGACCCACAATTGGGATTTGAATGCGTAGCAAGCACTGGGAAGAGTAACCTACAGTTATGGTCATTTACCAGTTATAAGTACTTATAACCTCATTTATAGAATGTATAATCCCATTTATAACCACTTATACCTGGTAAATGGCCATAACTGTATATATACCTATATCGGAAATGCAGGTGTAATCATAGACGATTTATGTGCACATGGAGAACTTGGTCACCACAAGTTTGGGACTTTGCATGATTTGGCTAGGAACAAAAGTAGGGATTAGGGTTATAAGCATGAAGAAGAAAGTCCACAACCAACAAGAATCCACCGGGAAAAAAGGAAGATACAGTTACATTAAGGCAAGAAAGAACAATCAAGTGCTTCCAAAAGCCATGCTTTCAACAATTCACCACATCGGTGTCCTGCTGAAACAAGCGAAAACCATGGGAAGCGGCTAATTTTTCGATGGATTGGTTTTGAGTATGGTTTTGGGAACGTCTTCGGTTGAACCCCATGGCTTTTACGATGCCTTTACCGCCGTTTTTTCCCAGCATCCAATGCCAGGGCTCCCGGCCAACGCTAAGAAGTTGAGCCAAAACCTAAAGAATGGAGGTCCACCATGGTGGATTTCACCAAAGGGTTATATCGTTGAAAATATCGATGTTGATTTGCGGGCAAAGTTTTTTTGGCATGGGGATATTTGACGGTTTAGGACGCGATACGATCGACAATGGGACCAGCATTGGCCAACAATATGGGATATGGGATGATATGGGCATGCCTGAAAACGGTATATAACTATATATATATAAATATATATATATATATAAATATAACATTATATAACAATCTTGATCCAGTCCAATTAAAGCAAAGTTTCACGAGTCATCACAAGTCTCTGAACAACTGGTTTTGCCTAGTAGCAGCCAAACTAGCTGTTTCTGGGGATCTCTGTGCGCGCTAGCTGTCGTTTAGCAGCTATGTGAGCCTCTGAAGCTTTGTATTGTGAGCCACCTCGGCAATCGGCTCCGCTGGATTTGTGCGGCAAACTTTGGCCAACAACTGCCCATCTGGCAAAAGGAGCTGGAGATTTGGGAGGTTCACATTCACTTCATGCGCAATCCTTTTGTGAGTCTCCCAGGCCGAATCAACTCCTGGTGCGGTCAAATGAAGTCGTTCTTCCCCAGCCAAAGTCGAACATATCAGTGTAACTGCATCATCCTTGTCCAGGACTTCTAGTTGTAGAGCTAGGTCTCTGCCAAATGTCATATTGACAATGTAGCAAATTCCTGACTTTGGTGACAAAATGTCGCATTTGTCCCCACTTATTCAATCCGATGGCAACAGCACTGCCATCACTCCGGAGAAGTACTGTATGACTGTCGCCTGCCGAAATGTGGGTGTATATGTGAAACTTTACTAGTGAACTACCCCCAAATGAGTAGCGCACGTGGACGGGCACTGAGTGAACAGCGCCGCCACCCAATCCACAGAGCTAAAAAGCCCTGAACAAATACCAAAAGACCCGCCAGTAATCAACCCCAAAACAAAAGGGGGGAACCCCAGGCCATCGCAAACGACATCAACAGTAAACCATGCAGGGATCAGCATAGCACGTTAAGAGCCATGCCGAAGTTCCCAAATGGTTCGCTGCACAAAAACAAGCCAAGCATGAACACGATCCATGTCAGCATCCACACGAGAAATGACCCACCCAAACCGAGCCACAAGAAACTCACCCGGCTTGGGCGGGATATCCATGTTGCATGGACGACAAGGACAAGACCAAGCAATATGGTCAAAACTGCCAACGTCATGACAACCAGGCCAAATACAAGTGTCAGCAACATCAAGATTTTGGGCACTGTGCAACGCAGCAGGAGAAAAAGAACCCCCTGTCGCCAAAGCACGCGCCTCCGGCCCAGAAGCCGCAAACTTCCGAATACAATCCCAATCAATTCTGTGAAACAAACCGTTTTCAAAGCAATCAAGATTATTGTCCCGCCGAGTGGATTGACAATGTTTGTTGAGACACCAAGCGCGCCAAGCAGTACGGACCACATGTTGACGAGCACCGGCATTATCAACGACAGTAAAATCAAGAACAGAACGCGACAAAGCATAACTCCATTTCCAGTCAGCGTCACAAATCAAAGGTGGGATGTTGCATTGTCCAAATCTGTGGCTTCTAACAGAAACAGCACAGCCATCACTACGGAAAAGCACTGTATGAAAGCTGCTTGCAGAAATCTGGGTGTATACCGTTCCCTCATCCAAAGGTGGGATGTTGCATTGTCCGTCTTTATTGCCTCCGATGGCAACTGCACTGCCATCACTTCGGAGAAGTGCTGTGTGAAGTAGACCCACGGCATCCATTTTTGGAATTAGGGCCGAATGTATCTCGGGCACTTTGCGCTAATGGTAGACATTCAGAAATTCAGTGAGAATGGGCCAAAATCGTCAACTCAAAATGAGATGCTTCACTAGTGAACATGACCGACATCTTTGAAAATGCTGACCCATCCCCATACATGTATACATATTGTGCCGCGAGCACTTGCAATTCAAGATCTTCGAATGATCAACTAAATTGATCTAAATTGCATGGATCAATGACAATAGCACTCTTCCGGCCTGAAACAATAGGCGCCTATTTGACATAGTGACACGTTTAAACAGCAGGGTGCTCTTGCGAACACCCTTGTGCTGTGTCTAGGATGGTCTAGGTATCCCTAACTGGGGGTTCCTTAAGCCATGGGGTACCCAATAGCTGGATGGTTTATTTCATGGAAAATCCTATGAAAAATTATTAAAATTGGATGATTTAGGGGTACCCCTACCTCCAAATTTGATGCTTCATGATTTTCCACATTTAGATCGGCTGGAAGCCAGCAAACTGCTGCGGCATATTCAAGGTCTGCTGCAATCCGACTTGCCAAGCTGTCGTTTGAAGCTGGAAAAAAGCAAACCACTTAGAATCCAAATGGAAATTTCCTTATCCATGGAGGTTGTAATGGGACCAGCATCTATGAATGGGTAATTTTCCAATATTCTCCATAGCTATGTTACAAAATTGTCGGAGAATAGTTTTTGGAATGGGTTGGCTTCAGTGTGAACGCGAACATTTGCGCAATATTGATTTTTCTCATCACATTGAAGCCTCCATCAAGAGGAACAGAATGATTCATTGATATCGTAATAATATGCATTATAATGTCCAGTATCCGAAGCTTGCCATAATAATGTTAATCTACCGAGAACTGATCGGGTTCATACTAAAGCGCTGTCTTTTGAGTTATTTGTTGATATGTCAATATGCACTGATCAAATG